GGAGTTTGCTTCTCTAACCATCCAGTTGTCAAAGTCAGAGGCCCAAAGTGAAGCCCCCTTGACTTGTCCAAGGTCTCTATCTTCAACACCTCTGGCAAGAGAGGCTCACTTTGAAGTTCTCATTTGTACCACCACCTAGTTCAGAGCGGAGTGAGAAAGTTTGACCATCATCACTGGTTCGTAAAGAGTGGATCTCTCTGATGCAGGTCTCCTATTGCTGCTGCTTAGCCCAGGAAATGAAAAGACATCAGACAAACACAAAAGTAATGTAAAAAATATCCCAAACCATAAATTCATTACTGTTAAAATGGGCCAAAGCATATACACAGGGTGGTATTGTCACATGCAGGATGCCAATGTTTATGAAAAGAGTTGCCTTCAACTGTGTGGCCACTCAGAGGACCCAACAATGACAAGAGGTAAGCATCCTAGTCTTCTCACCCACCTGAGCTTGGCGTGACCTTGCCACAACAGTTTGTTTGCCTCAGGTACAGCCACTGCTGACAGAGGTGGGCTGCTAAGGAAGAGACTCCAGGAGCTCACACTGGCTTACAACTTGGCATCATACAGAGCTCATCCATCTGTTAGCCCATCCAAAAAATACTACTGCATACCAAACACTCTGCCATCTGCTTATTTCACAATGATCGCCTGTCTATCTTATGAAGATGCTTTTCCTACCATTGAATTGTCCCACATCATAAAAAACAGGCTGGAAGGAAAGGCCAACAATGGCCCTCAACAGCCTTCTATGTTCCAGAGAGGAAGCCTCATTCCAACTAAGAATCAAAAATTATGATATTCTTGAAAGGAGATGTGGAAGTGTGGGTCTCGCATAGCTCAGGTTCGACTAGTCTCCACAACTCAGCTCCTGCTGCCTCAAGGAAGGGCTGTGTGGGAGAACACCTTAATGTTCACATCACCGGAACGGTGTGCCTCAGTGGTTCATGTTACTTCAAGCAGAGTGAGCTGCCACCAGGGGAGGAGGTTGCGTGGAAAAGGCCACAACTCAGCTTGGTAAGATTACTTGGAGCATGTAAATAGAAAAATCAGGAAGAAGTGGGAAAAACCAGCATGAGATTAGGCTAGAACTGTAGATACATGATGCCTTGCAATAGTCAAGGTGGGTGGGTCGGTCCAGCAAAAATGACTGCACCATCATACAAGCAAACTTCTCTTTTATTGAAGTGTTTCTGGAGCATGTGTTATGATGGGCACTATACTGTTAGGTGTTTTCTCTCTACTTACAGAAAAATCTACATAAAACAGCACAAACAATTTGGACAACTAAAAGAAAACAAAAAACAAAAAACCCTTAAAACCAGCTGAATGGTCTGTAGAAATCCAGTTGTGGAAACTGGTAGGTATGTGCAAAAGAGAGGAGAGGCCACTATACCATGGGATCACCTAGAGTGTAGAAGAAAACCCTGATCAAACAAGTATCTCCCAGGGACCCTGTGAGCTCCTAGGAACTCCGAGAAGGGCAGCATTCTGGCAGGAGGAAAAGGACTCCTGAGCTTAACTGACAGCACTGAACTGTTAGGCAGCTCTCTGCACTGGGGGAAAAAAAAAAAATCACCCATGTTTCCCAGCTCAAGTTCCCAGGGCCTGTGAGAGCAGCTGCTGGAATTGAGGAGTGCACCGTCCACCCCTGTGAGCAGCAAAATGATGGGATGGACAGGGGCAAAGCACGGGGAAGGCTGGGCGCCAACCACTGGCTGTCCAGCATCGAAAAGGTTTGGTCAGTCCTTGTTTAGCCCTGGGGTTGTGGTGGTTATAGCAGCCTACAGGGGGTGTAGGCTTAGTCCTGCCCCCTTTATCATACTGGCCTTCTTTCAGAAGCAGGGTGAGGGCAGGCCTCTCCAACTGCTGACATGGCTGTACCTCTGAGAGAAACCAATGCAAGATAGCAATGGTGCCATGCCCCTGCCATAGTACAGGCCTCAGCGGAGACGCAGAGTGGCTAACAGGTCACACATTAGAACTCTCAGACAACCTATGTGTGGGTGCCTCCTGCCCTCAAAACCTGGGAGTTAACTTCTCTCTTGGGGGTGATATATTATCAACCACTTGATCTGTATGAAGTTCTATTCCAAAATCAGCCAGGTGAGGAGGATGGGCAAGGGATTCCCCCTCCACTGATGTCCTCTGGGATCATGGGGGTGTTGTGTTCAAAGCAGGGAAACCTCTGAGGGAAACGAGTGAAGAAAAAAGTAACCGTAGATGCCCCAGGAAAGGCGAGCTTTTGGAGGAGTGGGGGAGGATGAGTGAGTTAGTGTTGCTTTGACCCCAAAATCCAGCCTGGCCTCTCTCTGCTTCATCCAGGTATGTGGCCTGCAGTGTGGATGAGGTTACCAGTATCATTGGCCTACTGTCAGGTACTGAGAAGTGTGAGATGTATTTACACACACACACACACACACACACACACACACACACACACACAGTGAGGTAGATAAATGTTTGAAAAACAAAACACCCCCCAAATCAAAAAACTGTCCCATCTAACACACACACACACACACACACACCCTTTTCCTCAGTATTTAAATTCATAATGGGGGCTTCTCTATAGTGATTAAAACAGGTATCACAAAATAAATTAAAACTCCTACATGTAATACCTTCTTACACATTTTTCTTCTCCTCCTCTCTCTCTCTGTTAAGGGGAAAGAAACACTGTGGGGCAGAGGCTAGTGAGAGCCATGAACCTGAAACTACAGACAAGCCAGAGAACTACAAGCTTTCTTTCCTGTGTTTAATCTCATCACAACTGCAATCATCATCTTCTTCCAGATTTTTTTCTTACTCATAACTTAGATATTTCCAACCCAGAAGCTGCTCTCATGCTGTCACCACTGTGGTAAAAAGTGTTAAAAACTAAATAAAACAAGACCTCTAGGCCCAGAGGTCTGCCCTTCTGGCTAAGGAACAGTAAAGGACTCCTGGCCTTCTGCATGGGAGTGGTTTCCAGAATGCTATTGAGGCTGCTGCTTCTGGCCATGGGTTGTTGGTAACTATACCTTGCTTACATGGAAGCCACCCAATCAGACATTCTGTTCTAAAGACAGGCAGGTTGGTCTGGTGAGGATGATGGCAGAGGGGATGATATGCAATGCCCTGTTCTACCCTGGGGACTGAGCAGCTGTGTGTGTGTGTATGTGTGTGTGTGTGTGTGTGTGTGTGTAGAGAGGAGGATTAAATATCCATAAAAATAATTCAAAATGCCTACTGTCTGCAATTAAAACTGTTATTATATCCCAGAATGAATATATATATGAATATATATATATATATGCATGTGTCACAACCAAAACAAAAACAAAGAGGGAAGGCAAAGGTGTGACTTTCAACAATGGGGACTATAAACACTAAACCAGGATGTGTGAGATTTTTAACCTTTTTTGTTTCTGACCTGAGTTTGTGCAGGGTAACAGACTCCAATGCGGTGTACAGGGAGTTGTGGGAATGAGAACAGGGCCCAGCAGCACCTGGATCCTGGCTTCCCAGCCTCCTTAGTCCCTTACCAGCCCTGTGCCCACAGAGCCTATGGGTTAGAAGATAATGGGGTTGCAGGGAGCAGGGGAAGGGAGATGTATTTATAAAAAAGGCATCAAACAGTTCATGACAAATTATGTTCTAGAAGCATCAGTTACTGGAGAAGAGGAAGAAAAAAAACCACACTCTAGTACAAAGCATAGGAAGTTTCTTGGAGTGAGAGGAAAGGAAGAAGGGTAGACCTGAAAGTTTCATAGATTAAATCCACAGAGATAAGGAACAAAAACAAAAACAAAAACAAAAAAAAAAAAAAAAATAGCAGCTTTTTTTTCCTGTACAGACGTATAGATGAATATCTGAACCGTAAAAAAGTTATAAAAGTGACATTAAAGACGATGTGTATGCAAATGTTTCATGGTCTAACATAGAACTGAGAGACCCATGAAGAAGTCCTAGTAACAGAGACCATGTCAAACTTAGACTACTTGAATCCACTGCCTGGCGCTGCAGCGGTGATGTCTCAATCCCTTCCTTGCACATCTGCACCAACAGCTGGGCCGAGTCCCTGGAACCCTTTCGCATCTGTGTCCCTTGGGGGCCAGAGGGAGGCTAGGGAAGAAGGGGGAGGAGGCTGGTATGAGGACCACCTTTATCCACAACCTGGCCGTCAGGTTTGCTCATGGCCTTTCCCTCCAGCATTCTTGGGGTGCTGTGGGTGGGTGGGTGGGGTAGGGGTGAGGAGCCAGTTCAGCCTTCCCCTAAGTCCACCTTGCCCAGTTCTCCCAAACTGTAACCTAGTTGTCACAAATTATTGAGGCCAGGGGGATGTGGGCTACAAGAGCACACCGAGGCACAGTGGAGGCATCACCAACGTGTCCCTCAAATGACATCATTAACATGATGCCATATTCCACCCCATGCCTCTGGACAAAAGATCAGTGAAGGGAGTTTGCATGAGAATAAGTAACAAAAACAAAAAACCCAGGATTTTGGCAAAATTTGGCAGCATGAAAATGGTAACAACCATGGATGAACAATGGCCCTTTGAAAATTTCAGATGACCTAAAAAGGTTAAAGATACAGTTAAAAAATCCCATCTCAGTGTGTGCATTCTCTCTCTCTCCTTTTTTTTTTTTTTTTTTTTTTTTTTTTTGTAAAGACCTATGGTGTCAGGCAGGTGTGTATGGGGTGATGAGGAGCCCCAGGACAGCCATTAAGTCAATCTGATTTAAAAGGAAAAACAAAGGCTTCCTGGCTGGGCTTTCAGCAAACATTTTTTCCATTGTAAAGCAAAGAAAGGAGAAAGGAGAGAGAGGAAGTGGAAGAGAGGAAGAGGGAGAGGAGAGAGAGGGAAGGCAGAAGAGAGAGAAAGGCATAGAATGAGGAGACTCAATTCTCGAGTGTCCTGTTGCTATTAAGTGTTGTCATTAAGGTTTGCAGAGGCCCATGTCAGTTAAGGGTTCGGGTAGGGAAATAAAAAGCTGCTTGCATATTGAAAAAAGGAAGGTCCCAAATGTGTTTACTGCAGAGAAGCCATCTCCCGTGGGCAGCCATGGCAGTTCTGAAGATCCACTGAGGTACAGGAGGCTTGTGAATAGATTGTTACGACCTGCTCTCCCCCTGCCCACTGAGTGGGCACACGTTACTTTTGCATGTGCTTCTGTGTCTGAGGATCAGCAGGTCGAAGACTGGGGCAGAGGCAAAGCCCTCTCGTTGGCGCGTCCCCCGTTCATGTGAGCATAAGGCTGTCTCTCATCGAAACTGGCACGGAGAACCAGTACTCCAGGGCCCGGGCCATTCTCGGCCTTGTGTCCCGAGTGTCTTTCAGGCAGAGGCAGGGAGGCTGAGGAGGCCGAGGGGTCCAGTGGTACACTCTCCATGTTCTCAGGCTCTAGCTCCAGCTCCAGCTCCAGCTCCTCTGGCTCAGGAGGCTTGTTCTCCTCACTGTAGTAAAAGGAGACCTCCTGAAAGCTGGGCTCCATCTCATCCTTGATGCTGCCAATGATCTCCAGGAACGAGGGCCGCATCTTAGGGTTGTACTGCCAGCACATGCGCATGAGTTCAAACCTGATGGGGAGAAGAAAGGGGGTGAGATGCAAGAGGGCTCTTGCTGAGGTCAGAGCGGCCCAGAGGGTTGCATCGCCTCTGTAGGTCCGGCTTCTCATCTGGATGCTTCTGGTATCCTGCCATGTATCTTGCCCAAAACCCTGGCCCAGCCACAGTGACAAACCCAAACTCACTTCAATCAAGTCTTGGTTCATACAGAGTTTGCCATGACAGGGTCATATCGATGGTGGCAATGCTAAGATAGAACAACTGGTTTCCTGTCTGAAGCACCTCTTCCTGTCGGGGTTCCAGAACCAGAATTGGGAATCCTCCATTTCCCACTAATGAGGATTACAGCTTCCCTGAGAGCCACCATTCTCGGCACCCCCACCTAGGTTATTTCTAAGCTTCTTCTTGGCACTACGGTGCCCTTGGCAGTGGGCCTGAGGGAGGCAGCACGGGTGCCAGACAAAAGGACCACACATCCTAATTTGCTAGGTCAAGCCAGCACTTACTTACTGCATGTCTCAAGAAGGGAGAGCCCTGTCTGGAAGATCCAGGCTGCCCCTAAGCAGAATCTTAACCAAAACCTCAAGTCAGATGCCAACAAGCTAGGGAAAGCCCAGAGTGTGTTTCCTTTACAAGCAGGGCCAAGGTAAGAACATAGGAAGTCCATGCGGCACCGCCATAGGGCACAAACCTCCGAAGAGTTCCCCGAGTCACATGGGCCAGCAACCACACATGACTGAAGAGGAAGGCTGCTCACGCAGCCCCACCACCTTGACCAGGAATGTCCTGGGTGGGGAGAGCAGAGGGAGCCTGAGCAACTGAAGGCCTGAATGAGTGTGTACTGCTGACATGGGAACAGCCAAGGACCCCCAACATCCCATTCCCACGGGAGTGTAAAAGGCTTCCCCATGATGCTCAGAGATGATAAAGCCTTCCTGAGGTCTGAGTGTGAGTGCTGACAGTGTGTGTAGAAGATGTCTACTCTCACTTTGCCTCGCTGGGTATTTATGGCCTGAAGACTGCTTCCTACAGAGATGAACTAAAACCGATCTCCTTGTTCAGCTGTATATAACCCTATTTCCTTGTTTATCTGTATGCAACAATTCCACCTCCCTGTTCAACTGTACACAACAAACATGCTGAGCTTCTAGAGCCCAGTCCACCCAACCCCAGCTTTTCTACATCCACGTGCTTGTCCTTTCTTCATTCCCTTGATGCCCCTAGTCAAGTCTGGATTCTGGCACCCACGCTGTAGGCTTTGACAGATGGACAGGACAGAGAGAAGTGAGGATAGGGTGTTCATGCTTCTCCGGCATTCACGGAAGCCTAAGACCAAAGGACCTTCCACCTCTGTCCCTGAGGGAAATTGCTTGGGTTTATAACTCTTGCCTCAACAGATACTTTACACTGAAATCCACTAAATGGAACTAAATGCAGGAATCTCACAGCACCTGGACTGGCCTCTAACACTGTGCTGTCAGGCTGATCACTGAACCACCGGGTCTCTTCTTACAGTGGGCCTTGTAAATAATCCCATGCCTTGCATGGGAAAACCCATGCAAAAGCAGGCATAGGAGCCAGGCAACGGTGGTTCACGCCTTTAATCCCATCACTCAGGAGGCACAGGTAGGCAGAGCAAGGCCAGCCTGGTCTACAAAGCTACACAGAGAAAACCCTGTCTTGAAAAACAAACAAACAAACAACAACAACAACAACAAAAAAGCAGCCATAGGCAGGTATGAAGTGGCCCATGTAAAAAAAGACACCACTGCCCACTTGGACAGCTTCCTTAGAAGCCCTGGGTCAAGTCAGGGTTCTGGTACCCAGGACATGCAGAGTACTTTACCCAGGGCAGTAACCTGAAGAGTGGATGGAAAAGGGTGAGTTGGAGGTCCACCCAGAATTAAGCATTCTAGAGGCTCAGGGGGCAGCCAGTTATAGCCAGGCCAGATGCAGCTTACAGCCTGTTTTTGTAAATTGAATTTTTCCGGAGCAGAGCTGGTCACACATCACCTGTGGCTGTTTTTGAGCTCTTCTGTAGGTTGAGTAGCTAAAACAAAGGCTGTTTAGCTTACAACTCTACAATATTTACCATCTATCCCCCTCAGGGGTGAGAAAAACCCAATAAGGTAAGCAATGCCTATGCCAGGTCATTTCACTGTTGTTTTCCTTAGGATCAAGTGATAACCCTGGTGGGACACATCAGGTTGCAGGTAGTCAGTAAGAGCTTTGGGGTCACATTAGTTCAAGAGCCAGAGATGTGTGTCTACTATAACAATTATAACCATCCCCCTCCCTTCCTTCCTTCCTCCCTCCCTCCCTCCTTCCCTCCCATTCATTCATTCATGCCAGACAGGGTTTCTCTGTAGCTTTGGAGCCTCTCCTGGAACTCGCTTTGTAGGACCAGGCTTGCCTCAAAGTCACAGAGATCTGCCTGTTCTGCCTGCCAAGTACTGGGATTAAAGGCGTGCACCACCCAGCCTCATTCTATAGATAAGGAAAAAGCACCAAGCAAAACATTTAAAATTTTGTCTAAAGTCACACAATTGGGTGAGATGGAATAGGAGTGAGAATCTTTGTCAAACTTGAACAGTAGTAACCATGGCCCCACAAGGAGACTGTCCTCTCATGGCAGTTCACATTCACACCTCATGAGAGGCTTTGGTTTGCATCCATAGCAGGCAGGTAGCAAGCTCAATTACTCTGGTTCGGTGTCAAAGAAGCCTGTTCTCCTGGGTCCCCATCGTTTTCCCCGTAAAACTAAGCTAAACCAGATGTAGATACAAGGACTCATCTCTGTGGCTGGGCTGTAGTTTCCTCTCTGGCTGACTGGCTTACCCCTGGATAAGAAAGTGCAACTGGGCAAGAACATGAGATGTGTCTGGCTCCATGCCCTGTGGCCAGGGGTGGGGACCCAGGAGGTGCCACCAGCAGGGCAGAGATGCGGTGACATCAGCGCAGACAGGCCACGTGGTGCCTCCTTTAAATCATTCCAGAGTTGGTCCTTCCAGTGCTGCCCATAAAAGGAAGTCTTTTTGCTCTGTGCGATTTAAGGCCTTGTTTTATACTCTTTCCACAAGAAAACTCTCCAGCACACTGTGGGATTAATAAGCAGGCAAAATGCTTCTTCTAAAAAGCACATTTTACGATCACCCGATGGCTCCGGTGAGTTAGAGCTATGTTTCACAGGGTATGTCCCTCTTTGAAGGTATATACCCAGCTCTCCCCTAGAAATGAGGGAAGGCTCAAGTGAAAGTCCTGCCCTATCTTGAAACAGCTTCCAGGGAGAAAGGTCTATTCCTAGTGGTATATGCATACTATTATTTCCATCCCCATCTTGGCTCTTGAGTCCCCGGCCACACCCCATGTCCTGAACTTGACAGGTACTGGCATGCTGAGATGTGCTCAGTAGCTCCTGTCTATAGCATTCCGGCTGCACTCCAAGCCTTAGGACTGTAGCACCCAGTGCTAAATTCTGGTACCCAGAGATCAGACTTTAGGAAGGTCCTATAGGTCTGTGGGTCTCCTTCTAGCATCCCCCAACAGCTAAGGCTGATTTAGGGGCTACTTCCTCAGCTAGGACCTGAAGGGGGATGCTATACAGCCTAGGCTCTGGCCCACAGTTCATGCCATGGCTTACCAGGCAGACATTGCCATCTGCCTATTTTGATCCTACTCAAATAATTTCTCTAGACAAAACCAGCTCAGGATTCCCAGAAACCTGAGGGCCTTAACTTGGGAAAGGGAAAACACAAAAGCAGTCAGAGTTGACCGAGTATGTCTCAGCTGCGGCTGGGCTGGTGACACTGAGCTAATACAAACTTCCTTCCTGAATCCTGCATCCTGCAGACTTGTTATATGAACTGTGGACATGTTACTGGAACAAATGGTTCTGGCACCAGAGTTTTTGTGAATGAGCTCAAATCACCATTCCATGTGGTCATTTATTATTTATGATTTATGAAAGCTTGCTTGAGGATTCAGAAAGCAAAGATAAACTCAAGTCAAAGAGATCAGGCAGTGGTGACACACACCTTTAATCCCAGGACTCAGGATTAAGAGCCAGATGGATCTCTGTTAGTTCAAGGCCACCCAGGGATACACTAGAGTGAATCAGTCTAAAAGAAAATTAGAGCTCACACCTTTAATCCCAGGAACAGGGTCTCAGAACTGGCATTCATTCCCCAGCCACATTGAGGATAGGAAGACATGGAAGTCTCAGGATTCTCTAGCCATACTGAGGAGAGGCAGCAGTCTGAGGGAGACTAAAAGCTGGTGGACGCCTGCTTTGCTTTTCTGATATTCAGCTTGAAGTTTGAAGCTGAACATGTGTCTCTGGGTCTTTTATTTTTTGTGCTATAGACCTGCTTCAGGGTCTCCTGATTCCATGAGCCCTGGGACTAGCCTCTGACCCCAGCAGGGTTCACTGACAAATTGGTGTACAAAGCACTGAAATCCCCTGTGATACCCAAGGCTGGACACTTGGCTTCTCTTGAAGCAACCTTGTTCATACGCAGGCACAATGAGGCCACAACATGGCCAGGGAGGGCTGTTCTGGCCTCGGAACTACAAAACTGAAGCCCTTCCTCTAACATGAGAGACCCACTAGGTTTCAGACTGCTCTCAAGGGTGCTCATTTACTGCAACAAAAGAATCATTTCCCAGAACACATCTCATCAGCACCCCAGCAGATTCAGAAGGACAGCATACTCCCTGCAGAAGCCAGCTTGTCTCCTTCACCATGTTCTTTTCTTAGAAAGGAGACAAATCTGCCAATGGGGCTCTGAATGGCAAAGCAGAAATGCCTCCTGAATCAATCACTTCATGTTCAAGAGCAGCCTCTGCATGTAAACTTCCTTCTCTCTCTCTATGCTGGGAACAGGAAGTCCATTGCCTTTCCCATGGCAGGTGGCTGCTTCTCAAGCATGTTAAATTCATATAGAAAAATCCAGTCAGCTGGAGATGGATCAACTTCAGGAGTCTCATGAGTTTCTGAGACAAATGTTTGCTCCATTATAAAAAGAGGACAAAAACAATACCACTCCTGTGACCAGCCCTAAACCACAGGGACAACACTCACACCTGCTCTTTTCAACTGTTTGTAGGCTTATGAAACACTGCTGATTCTAGTATCTGAATCTATGCTGGTGTGGCAGACCCTACACAAATTTTGGGGCATACTCTATCCCTTAAACATTGCCCTAAATACTGACTCTTCTCACAGCAGACTAGCATGAACACTGCTGCACCACTGAGGTGAAAGGAAGCTGAGGAATACCATGAGCAGCACGTAGGAGCCACAGAGCATCTTTGGGGAGTCCCTGTGCACCATGTGAACCTTCTGAAGTCACTTTAGAGGACACTGTAGGAGCACTCCCCTGGAAGATGATGTCAGGGCGCAGCAGGCAATGGACAAACCCGAGGCTCAATATGGTCTGGTCTGCTGCCTATTCAATTTTGTAATGCCCTTCCAAGTAAGAGAACTTTTATACCTGCAGACAGTTGGGGGCAAGGGGACAAAACAAACAAACAAAACCCAAACAGGAGATGGGAGAAAATCAAATTTGATATAAAAAAGTATATATAGTTTTAGTTGGGTTCCACTGACACAAGCCTCTGATGGCAGCATCAGGGGAGACTAAGGCAGGAAGATTATCCCCAGGACCAGGCCAACCCCGGCTACATTCTCTCTCTCTCTCAATGGCTCCATAGCTGCTTGCTGACTTCTGTATCCACTTTACACCACTGTGGCAGAGCTGAGGGGTAAGAATGAGTATATGTCCCACAGCACCACAAATAATATCCAATCTGTTAGAGAAACTTCCTCAAGTCTATGTGACCTAGAAGAAGCAAAGTGCTATGTTGTGAAGCCTGAGGGATGCAGATGTGGCGAGGCCATAGACTCCAGGATCTCCAAATTGTTCCCAGCTAACCTCAGTACTACAACTGCAAGGGGCAAACTCGTGCAAACCATCTCGTGGAGCCTCACGTGGGACTAGGCTGGCCCACAACTTTCCTTCAACTTCACTAGAATCTAAGCACAGTCATTTGTACCTCTGTGTGGGTTCCTGTTCACTGTCCACACATCCACACACCCAGCCCACCCAGCCTCCATTTGTACATCTCACCATCTGAGTACATGGCTTTGTTGAGGAAGGTAAGAGGCAGGTTATGAGGCAGGTCTTTTGTACAGACACCAAGAAATCTTGACAATTCTCTTGGGATTCTTTCACAAGAGAAGAGAAGTTAAGCCTGTTTGAAAAGCATTTCTAGAAAACTCCTATATTGGTCTTGACATAATCTGTGGGGACCCACCTTGTTGTTTACCCCTGGGACGAAGAATAACAGCTGCGCCCTGCCTTAAGGTGTGCACATCAAAAACAAGTACACTGTGAACAACCTGTACCCAATGAACCAATCAGAACAACTTCTTATATTCCCCCTTGGACACTCATTCTGAGAAGGACCGTTCTCTTTACCCACTGAGCCACCGACATCAGGCAACAAAACAAGGCCTCCATTCATGAGGCTACAAATAAAAGTTTAGCTGCTGAATGCCTTACCAAGCTTGGAGGCGAGTGGGAGGGTGCCTACAAGAGGGTGACATCAGAATTGCAGCCTTTTAATGCCCCCCTTTTCACTTTCTACCTACAAAATGCGAACATCTGCTCTGACCGCCTTTCCACCCTAAGAGCTACCTTACCACAAAAGCAATGGAATCCCAAACTGGGAGCCGCTGTAACTGCTTCTCCCTGTAAGCTAATGATTATTTTGGAGGCGTTTCTGGAAGTCACAAGGGCTGAACACTGAGGCATAAGTCGCACCATGGGTTTACTGTTATCACCTGACAACTCCAAGTGCTGCAGGATGTCACTTTACCAGAAGTAGAGCAAGTCAACAGTGGTGTGCTCAAGCTTGCTTTGGGTCCATGCAACTCAAAACGATAACGCTGAAAGCACATGGCTGACATTGGGGCTACCTGAAGTTTAGCCTGTTAGTGCCAGAGAGTGACTCTCAACGACAAAGCTCCACGTGAACCTGCTGACAGACCTATCAGGTCTACCAATGGCTTGGGAGAGCTTTTGAATCTGTCTTAACAGTAATAACTGTTGCACTATTGCTTTAAAAAAGTTGCATGGGAGGGATATTTCACAGAGATGGGGGGGGGCCTGAGAAACCACAGTGCAAAGTGCTAATTGGTACTGCAGGACTGGGATGGGATTAAGGTGTTGCACAAAATCACAGAACCAACAAGCTCATCTCCACTGATAAAGACAGATAAGCCCTCTTCTAATGGTTTCCTGTACAAACAGCAACAGAGGGAGCTACTGGCTCTGGATTTATTAATCTTAAACGGCTCAGGAAATACATACAGCATGTCAGGGCAATTGTCTGGCTTGTCCAGAAGGCCTCCCTCCATGACAAATCGAAGAACTTGCTCGTTGGACAAGCCTTGGTATGGCTGTTCAGCCAGTGTGGCAATCTCCCAGAGGACGACACCAAAGGACCTATTTGGAGAAACAAAACATGAGTAGCTCAGAAAAGAGTGGGCAGGAGCACATCCCCTTCCTTGTTAGCATTTCTTCAACCCTAGGTGCTGAAAAAGTCTCCTCAATGTGGTGACCAGCACTTTGTATGTCAAACCGGCTATGTGGCTAAATGTGGGATATCTGGCCTTCTCTGTCACCGCTGATGCTCCCTTGCAGGGCCACCACAGCCCAGGTGGCATGGCTGAGGCAGCTGAGGTTACAGGGCTTTTAGCATCCCTCACACAATTTTAACTCCAGTGCCAGGTCCCAGCACTGGCTTGGGACAGGTAAGCATTTTAACTATCTCTTTAGGGGATTCTTTTCATCCCAGTTTGGAAATCTCCATTCTAATGATCTCCAGCTACTGCAAAGAAGGGCCTACTTGGAGTTCTTAAACAGATGGGTACCTGGGCTCCCCAAAGCAGTTCTGATCTGACAGCTGTGGGGTGGGGAGTTGGCTCTTGGGATGTCTAAAAGTTCTGTAGGATCTTGATGCAGGCAAAGGAAGATGAAAACCCATCCCTTACAGAACTCAGGAGCCACTGGCTGGGGAGGCAGCTGTGGGAGGTAGGAAACAGGTGAGATGCACTGGCTTATGTTGCATGTCATAGTTAACAAAGAGTCCTTTGGCCTGGAGGCTGGCTGAGGTATAAACTCAGCAGGCAGAGCAGTGAAGGGACTCTACCATGTGTATTGTTTGTCTGTCAGTCTAGAGGATCAAAGTACAAGAGATCCATGTACACAGAAACTTCAGATAGGTAACAGGACAATACTGCCACCTGCAGTGTGGACACCTTCTCAGGTGTACCTACCTGCCTTTGCAAAATTCTCCCTGGCCTGTTTGCTCTCACACTCAGATTGTGTTAATGGAATAGAGCAGGCTGGCCACTGGAAGCCAACTTCAGAAGGAAACCCCAGTAGGGCTAATCCCCACAGGAAAGCTTTGGCTGGCATTTTTCATTCAGCACTCTGAGGACCCTGACCTAAGCTGAAGAAGGAAGCCTCCAACCGAATCATGTTTGCCTCTCTGCTTCTGCTCTCTTCTGTGAACAAAAGGGTTTTGTACAAATTGATACTAAGCAATGTCAGACAGAAATAGAACCTTAGCAGTCAGACCCAAGGTTCTTTTGAACTAGCAGTGACTAAGACTTAGTCTTCAAATCATACAAAAGACCCAAAAAAGCAGTGAAATCATGGTTCTGAAAAACCTGGACATGAAGAAATGGGTTTCTGGTCTACTCCAGTCATGGATTCTGCCTTCCAGAGCCCACATGGCTACGTCAGAGGTACTCTTTGGAGGCTACAGAGCCCACCCTCATGTCTGAAATTGGCCTGAGGCAAGCAATGATGTATGTGGTTTTCTATTTTTGTCAATTGCAGGCTGGTCTTGACAAGGTTCCCCTCCAGGCCAACTTCCCTTGCTTCCAATGCTTTCCCTGGTTCACCATAGGCTTCCAGGCAATCGGTAACAACCTTGGCCCTGAGCACTGACTGCCTTATCTAGATGTTGGTTACTTGACTCTTGAGGAAGCCAGCATCTCTCCAGCTTAACTCTCTCAGGCATCCTGTTCTCCTGGACTCCCTGTAGCCAGCATCCTGTTCCACACCAGCAGTGTACTAATATGGAGGAGACCAAGACAGAGAACAGAACAGAAAACAAAGATGTCTAGAGACATAGGCTGGCCGGCCTGCCTGCCCTTGTGAGGAAGGGGACAGTCCCTGGAACATTTCCACAGAAGCTCAAGTAACAGCTGTGATGAATGGAGTAGACAGGATTTGGGGCTTGGCTTGACTTGAAGGTCCCTCCCAACGCCATATTCCTAAGTTCTCCTACAAAGTCAAACAAAATTCTTTGGGACTTTTTGCCTACTTAGAACAACTGTCTTATGACTGTGAATTTATTCTAAAATGATTGACATTCTTCTAAGAGGCACAGCTTCGGTTAGAGCTGAGAAACAGTTTATACATTCCAATGTCCTTGCTTTCCATAGTTGAATGCTTGAAGGTTGGGCTGAGAAAACAAACATCCAAAGCACCGTTGATGCCTGAGCATTTGGTGGGATGGATTTCAAAGGCCTCTTCTCTTTATACAGACATTTCCTTGTTGGTTTGTAAAGGCTATCGAGTCACAGTGGAGGAAACAGGGAGGGAGCACCCTGTGCGCGCCCCTTGCTGTGGCTTGCTACCCAGAATTGGGCTAGAATGAGTCTGTGTGAAACTTGACTTTTATTTCCCTATGCTGACTCTGTTTTCCTACCCTATGAGCTGACCTCTAAGCTTCCAGAAGCATGAAGTCCAGAATAAACAGATGGAAGTGTGGCCCTAGGTGTGCCCTCTCCTGCCACCTCATCTGAACATGGGGCAGAGAAGCGTGATTTGACAGGAAAGAGGTAACCTCGGATGGGCTGACTGCAGCACAGACCTCATCCTTGAGTCAGGAAACAAGCAGGCTGTGCAGGGTCATACTCAAATGTTATTCCAATTTGCACCTGTCTTCCAAAGAAGATCCAAAGCTCTTGACTGGGAAAGGTTTATGATACTAAAAAAATGATGTCAGTTACTACTGGTAAAGTTCTTCTGTGTGGTCATCTGCAGATGGAGTAAACAACTACTGTTTTTGTAACACAACAGCAATGGGATCTCCCAAGAGGAAAGCTAAGACACTTGCTGACATTTGAGGAGGGGGGGCGTGCCAGGGCTCTTGTCTGCCAAGAACTCCACTTGTATTTTGGAACCCGATGACCTCTACACAGTGTTTCCAAGGAACTGCAGTAAGCAGTCCTACAGAGAAGTCTCTTCACCCCTTTGTTAGTGTACATCCACCATAAGGTACTTTTATTACTAATGAAGATGCTTTGGGTCAGCAACGATGGATATCCATAGGGTGTGTTTTGACAGACTGGATGGGACCAACAGGGAACCAACTGTGACCTTCAAGTTCTGGGTTTAAGTAAAGTACTGCCTTCGCTCTGAAGGTTCAATGAGGTGAGGTAGGGGAGGCAGCAGCACATACACACACACACACACACACACACACACACACACACACACACACACACACAGTATAGTAATGTATTAAGAGTGAGAAACAGAGGGGAAACAGGCAGAGGAGAAATGGACAGAAATGAAGGCTGGACTTCTGGCACTTCACCACACCTTGGAAACATAGTATCAGCTAAAAAGGGAAGGAAATGTTGGTTCTACATACACCTTGGAGTCCCACAAATACCCTTTTGCTCTACTGAACTCCACATAGGAATAGCTCACAGATAAAGGGCTATGGAGCACTGTATGCTGAACTCAGGCTGGTAGTGGGTGACAGTGAACAGAGACCAGGAGAGAATGACCCAGAAGCCTGAACCAGAATTTGGAGGGTTCAAGCTGGCCATGCAGGGATACTCTCATACCAGACATCTGAGTGAGTGGTGAAGACTCCATCTTTGAGGGACTCGGGAGACATCCAGCGCACTGGCAACAGTCCCTTCCCTCCTTTTCGATAGTAGTCAGTCTCGTAGATGTCTCGTGTCATACCGAAATCTGCAGGGTGCAGAGAAAACACAGTTACTTAGTTGGATCAAGTCTTCGGGCAGCAGCAAAGGGGCTGTGGCTGTCCCAATACAGGGTCCTTGGCCTTTTTCCATATTCAAGATGAATGTTGTCCTTGTTGCCCTCCAGAAAGGTTTAGTATTACTGCTTGTAATTTTATAAGGCAGACATAGTAAGACACCATCAGTCAAGTACAAGACATCTTTGGTCTCAATTATTTATAATCTGTTTCCTTTTTAAAGTGATAGGCAGTTTGCAGATTACTAAATACGGCAATTTATCAAAAAAAAATATACACTGCGCAGACCAAGGATGAGTGACACGTACTTCTAAAGCCTGGTCAAATACACCACGGACGTGGACCTCATTTACTTGGTAGCATGGTTCTAGCACTGAGGAGAAGGCCTTTTACTACTTAATAGGGGAGAAGATATTCGGAGTAATGGCTCGTGAAGATAAAAGTACACAGTGAGAGGCTAAGATGCTCTTTACCAGGCTTGTGGAGCTATTACCAACACCTTTCCCCAACACAATACTCCCACTCAGTTTTGAAAATTTCTTCCATTTTCTGAGTCTCCTGAAGGTGCCATATAATTATGTTTGATGGCAGGCCTGCTTTATAATCTCGAATTATTGTGTCTTCACCAAATTTGACTTTCCCACTCTTTCACATCACCTTTTCTCATATACATGCTCCCATTCTTCCTCCAGGGAGAAGGAACTGTACTACCGTAAAAATGTCCCTTCACATCTCTAAGTGGTGCACAAAGAGGTCACCGAGGCAAAGCAAACCCCACAGAGAATGAGGCTTCTGAATGTTAACTGACACAACTGACTTGCACTGTGTACGAATGTCCAGCCTCCTCTGGTGAACTGACTTAGGGTGTGTCATCCTGGAGCCAGAGAAGAGGAAAAAGTAAGCGCTCAAGTCTCCCTGAAATAATCCACTGGTATGCAAATGAGAGATCTGCTTTGACTTGCATTAAAGGGGAATTCTAGAAAACAATCTCTCTTTCTAAATGCAAAAGAAAAACAGAACACCCCTACCATCCTATACATGCACACAAAATTTAATTCTAGAAAGAAAAAAAATCACAATTACAAGACAAACTATCCTTATAAATATGCCAAATGGTTAAACAGCAAATATAATCCTTACTTATTTAGATTTAAAATGGCAAGAAGCACCAAAAAGCATTTTTCCCAACTGTAATGCAAAGCAGGACAAAAGCAGCCCAGCTGAGTTTCTGCCTGTGCTAGCAAGAATGTGAGGGAGTGCGGGATGAGGACATGGGCACAGGCTTGCTGTCTACACCAGGTCCTTTGTGCTCATGTCCTGAGTCTGTCCTATTATTGCTCTTATTTCAGAGGTGGGGAGACATGCCCCCAAAATGGATGGAAGGAATCCACGCAGGTACCCAGTGGCCCCCTTTGAGGACTAAATGTGGGTCCCACGCATAAGTGAGGGAACGGGAGGCAGGAAGGTCAGAAGGTAAGAGGGTGACTTTTATCTGGGACAGGATAGTCTCTTGGTGGCTACCCACCAAACTGGGTTCCCAGGGCTCTACAAATGAGTGTGCAAGCCCAGGGACAGATATGCTGGGGGACACTAGGTAACTCCAAATGACTGATGTCTGTCCAATACAACATGCCAACATTCCGAACTCCTGCTCAAAGCAAGATGAAGACAGACAGCCCTATTTTGGATACTTTTGTAGAGAAGATATTCAATGCTCACTTAAGAGACCAAAAAGTCCATTCAAAACATCATTGCTAGAGTTTAGGCAAGCAAAAACATTGCCAAAGCACATGTTTAAGAGGTGGCCAAAGGCTGGTGACTGATGATTTTTACTGCACACTGTCCTCTCTGCTCCTTCTCAGGATGAACACCTGGTATGTTTCTGAACTACTGTCTTATCACAGTAGGAAGACAAAGGCTGGGCAAATGCAGGTGGTTTCCTGAGCAACTTTGTCACTACTTTTTTTTTTTTTTTAATTATTAAAAGACAAATCAAAAACAAAGCTGACATACAACGGAAAGGCTGGGGAAAGTCTCTAGCCAGTGACCAGAAATATAGTCCAATATAATTTTAATATCACAATGTGTTGGTAGAAACAAGGGGTCTAATAGTAGGCAGGCTGAGCAGCTAAGATCATGGTGGGAAGTGCTATGTATGACAGAAAGGTCAAGAACCTAGAGCTACTACTGGAAGATGTAGCTCAGTGGTAGACTGCTTAACTTGCACGCATGAGGTCCTGGGTTGAATCATTGGAAGTAGGAGAGGAGGGGAGAATTCTGGGCTGACCAAGCCAGGTCATGGGCCTATCTAGGGATATTGTTCTTTACAAGCTAAGAGACTCGAGGGAGGACTGGATGCTGGCTTTTATCCTCAAACCAAAATTACTCGTGGAAATAAGCTGTCCTGGTTATTTCTGCAACTCACATTCTACCCAAGAAACATGACCTCTATCTGGACCACCATGTTAAAATGCTCTCAGGATGACAGCCAGGAATAGTCAATTACACTGACTACATACATCTTCTCACTCAAGGACAAGCCATTGTACCTCTGGGACACCTCTCCAAGGGCAGTCTAAGCACTGCAAAAGCCCTTTAGCACCCATGTGTTTAGTTTCTGCTCCAATCAGGAAAGCAAAGAACATACCTCCAATTTTGACTGTGAAATCTTCAGCTACCATGCAGTTCCGAGCAGCAAGGTCTCTGTGGACAAATTTGTTGGCATTGAGGTAAGCCATGCCATCTGCAATCTCTCCAGCCATCTGAATCATCTTGCTCAAACTTGGAGGAATTAGGACTAGATTATTCTGCTGCAAATTAAAAACAAAATAAAACATGAGCATCTGGGACTTTCCCCCACTATCTATCAGTTTATTCAAGGGATTGCACATCTATGTTTATTTAATCTGAGCACCACAGGTTGTCTGCAGGAAGTTAAGAACTTGCTCAGAAGAAACTTATCATTGCTGAGCTCTGGCGATGTGTGATAAAATCACGTGCTTGTTCCCTGACCCTATCACAGGGTGGCCAAGGGAAACGTCAATTAGTACTCCTTGGGACCATCATTACCTTTTCTCTTTTCTGTTTCTAACCCCACCCACATACATGCATGTATGTGCGTGAATGTGGAGGCCTGAAGTTGATGTTGGCAATCTTCTTAAATTGCTCCTCCGTCTAGTTTTTGAGGCAGGGTCTCCCAATCAAAATCAAAGCTGACTCTGGGCATCCCAACTCAATTACAGGCAGATTGCCACACCTGCCCAGAATTTACATGGTTTCTGAGGACCTGAACTCCAGTTCTTTTGCTTATGGGGCAAGTGTATTAACAAGCAAGCCAGGTCCCCTGTTCATTAGTTTCTATCTGGAGCAGGACAGAAAGTACTTCAAGCGAAACAGCAAGTTTTGGTATTAAGGATTCTCGGTTACTTAGGTAACCACAGTCACGACGTGTAAGTGAGAGGAAGCACAGCACACCTGGACAAAGGCCACATGGAACAAGTGCCACACTTCCCAAGTGGACACCACACGCTTGATTTCTCATGCAAGCTGCCAGGAGTTATTTATCTTTATCTCCTCCTTGTAAGGCACAAAGTAAGATACGAAGACTAACTAGTTCTTTTACCTTGGATTACTGTTTTCTTTAGGCACTGAGGACAAATGAAGTGCAGATGGACTTTACCTTGAAGGGGACCAAGGTCAATGGCCAGCAACATAGAAAAATACTGTTTGCAGAGGAGGGCAAGACACTGCAAAGAATTAACCTAGAAAATGATGTTAATTTTGACAAAATAAAATATGCCCAAGGGGCTGGTGAGATGGCTTAGCAGGTAAAAACATGTTCAACCCCTGTGGTGGTCTAAGTGAAAATGGCCCCCAGAGACTCATTATTGGAGGTGTGGCTTTGTTGGAGGATATGTCACTGGGGGTGGGCTCTGAGATTTCAGAAGCTCAAGCCAGGCCCAGTGGCTCCCTGTCTCTTCCTGCTGCCTACGGATCCAGATGTAGAACTCTAAGCTACGCTCAGCACCATGTCTCCTGCGTGCCACCATGCTTTCTGCCATGACAACAATGGACTAAACCTCTGTTTAGTCCCCAATTAAAAGTTTTTCTTTATAAGAGTATCTTTAGTCATGGTGCCTCTTCACAGCAACAGAAATCCTATGACAATTCCAAAGATAGGCATGGGAAAGAAGAGAACCCAGTTTAGACACTAACTGCTTATGTATCTGTACCAGTATAGTAGATTATGCCTTGGTTTCCCTAACTGCAAAGTGTCTTAAACAACACTATATATGAAGCATCTCACTTTCCAAGGTCCCATATATCACCATAAGTTATTTTGAGGGTCACAGGAAGAGCATGGCAAGGCTTTGGGTTCATACTATTTGGGCTATTCTATACAGGGCATGCACTCCAGCCAAAACACTCAGAGAATGCTGGCTCTTGTCCAGGGTTGCTAAGTTCTCACTGGATGTCAGAATTATGAAATCAGGTAACAGCCCCCCAGCATGTCCAGTAGTACTCTCCACATTTCACAACAGACTTAGGGGAGCTCATTCATTGGTTTATTTAGTCATTTTTACTTCAGGGGATGTTTCCAAGGGATGTGACACCATCTGGAGTTAGCCTGAATTTACCTACCATTTCTTTTATGCTGGTGCTTCCTGCTTTTACATTGTCTTTTAGTATTTTTAGGGCTTTAAATATGCATGGCAAAGCAGGACCTCTGCAGGTGACATGCATTTAGGCTCATAACACATAATGGATGGAATATGAATGCTATGTAAGTGTTCAACAGGAAGCTGTCACTCACCGTGTGAAAAACAATCAACAAAAGGGACTTAATTATATGCAGAGAAAGGCTGACTTTTTGTCAGTTCATGATTCTATACTGTCATTTCCCCTCATGTCAAGAGAGTAGAAATCTTTAATTTTGTTATAGCTCCCTAAGATAAGCACACATCCATACATTCATCAAGCTAAATATGCAAATCCCAATGGGGGAAGAGGCAGAATATACTGAAGCTAGAGTATACATACTAAAGGCAGGATATAGACCCAGAAGCAAGGGTATGTATACTAAAGCTGGGATATACTTGCCTTTTTTTTTTTTTTTTTTTTTTTTAAATTTTGACATGAGTTAGAAAGACAAAATTTAGATCTGATGAATTTAAAGTTTTACTTCTGAAAGGGGCTTCAGTAACTCACCTTGTCTCTAAATTATTTTTATTAACATTTTCTTTTATGTATATGGGTGTTTTGTCTGCATGCTCAAGGAGTCCAGGAGAACTGTAGTTACAGACATTTGTGAGCTGCCATGTGGTGCTGAGAATTCAACTAGGGTTCTCTGGAAGAGAAGTCGGTGCTCCTAACAGCTGCTTGGAGCCATCTCTATAGCCCTTTATCTGTCTCTTATACAGAGGAAACTGAGGCCCAGAGGCCTCTTACAGTTGCCTGGGCATTGGAGGTAACCAATGGCACAACAGTTAGGGGTTTTAATCCATGCCTGAGTTAGGAAGGAAAGGAGTTAGTACTTCCCGATTTAGGAGGTGTCTATGAAGACCACTCTCCACGCACCTATTCCATAAAGCTTTTCTCCTTCTACAGACGGGATATTAGTGGGTCAGGAAAAGGCTCCACCAGGAACTTGGGACTGATGTGGGGGAGAAAAATGAGTCTGGCAGAGTTAACAAACATCCATTCAGATCTTTGGTCCATACTCAAGTCTTGGGGCTCTCCTCAAACCCCAAAAGCACATGCTAAAAGTAAACAAGGGCATTTGTACACAGGGAGTCAGAACTAAAATGAAGAAACTGTCACCTAGGAGATGTTTAAGTTGTAGAGGAAAAGAAAACAAAAGAACAGATAATGGGAACAGAACCAGAAACAGGACGAGAAGAGGGGAGTTTCCCTTTGGAGAGAATGCAGGGAGAAAGCAGCTTATCCCCAAGTAATAAAGTCAGGGGCAAAGTGAGGACATCAGAACCACTGAGGCAGCCCCATGAAAGACAGTTAGCCCTGGCAATGTTTCTCAATGTCTGTCTACCAGTTTACTCAGAATTAAGGACTTATAAATCAGACTTACAGATGCTAAGAAGCTGGCTGGGTGTTAGTGCAGCAGAAGGGGAAGACTGCAGTGATTAATGAAAAATGCAGGACCTAATCAGGGTTACAATGTGAAATTTTCACTATAGACTAAGCAGAGATCATGCAACTGGGATTATCATTTACAAGTTCAAGCAGGACACTGGATTATTACCCAGCCTGAAAGGCTGGTGCAGAGTTTGAGAAGTCTCTAAAGCAGAGTCGGGGTAAGGGCAGCATGCTCACATGTGTGTATACCTATGTGTGTCTGTGTGAGTGTGTGCGCACAGATTGGATAGTGCTAAGCGTCAAGGCCCCTGCCAGCCTAAACACTGAACTTTATTAGCACACACAAACATGGTTCTGGGGTGAAGAAGGGGCACTCTCTGAGGACCATGACAAGAGAAAATGCATGTTAGGCAGAGTCAAGTCTCCTGTCAAGTTAATAGGAGGCCAGCAGGAGTTGAGTGGAAAGGTTGTGGGGGAAGGTTGGCTCTAACACATGTCCTAGGGCAGGTGGGGACTGTTATGAGATGTGGGCAGGGGTAGGAGGAATGAAGAAATAAGAACACAGAGATGCCTGAAGTGGAGTGGGTGGGATCCAAAGACAGACAAGATCTCCCCACAGAGATTCCAGTCTGCCCACAGCTAGACAATCTTTTACCAGAAGGACCCACAAAAAGCATGCAGCAAGACACTCCAGGCTAAGAAGTAAACATTTAAAAACATGTTTCTTACAATGGAGCTCCTGATAGTAACGGAACAGATAAGATAACACAATGAGAATCAAAACTGACCTCCACTTCTGGCCTTAGAGACCGGAGATAACTTTTGAGATCCCCACGTGTCATCAGTTCCATGATGACCAGGGTAGGCTGGCCTTGGGACACCACACCCAGCAACCGGACCTGGAGGGATAAAAAAGAGAAGGACTCAGAGGGGTAGAGCTTGATGACCCACATGATGACCTATGCCTCTTGGACCTGTGTAATGCTAGAGCCTGTGTCCAGGAGCAGAGCTCTGGTGAGAGGGTGAGGCCTCCACCTCACAGATCTATGTGCAACAGGGAAACTATCCACTGGGTAGAAGGCAAGGCAGCAGTCTCAGAGTTGTGGTCAAAGGCATAGAAATAGCTTTCTGTCCTGTCTGATCTTGGCTGGTCAGACACTCTCTTACCACATGGTGACAGTTGAACTCCTTCATCACTGAAGCCTCATTGAGAAACTCGATTCTTTCACGCATACTTGCAGCCTCATTTACTGTCTTGATGGCTACTCTGGTTTCAGGTTCATCCTTGACCACACCCTTGGCCACTCCTTCATAGACCATCCCGAAGGACCCTTGTCCAAGCTCTCGGTTCATGGTGATCTTCTCTCGAGCTACCTCCCATTCATCGGGCACATACACTAGAGAGTAAGAGATGAGGATTGAAGCAGGCATGGAAACAGACAATACAGTCAAGGACAGGCATCCAAACTTTGAGGATTCCATGATATTTGGAGGGTAGTACCAGCATCTAAGAACTGGAAGGAAACAAAGAAAACTAGGACAGGAGGAAAAAAGCAGTGGTTCCTTTTTCCTTCCTTGGCAAAAACAATACAACTAAAACACCCAACCAAACAAAGTAAGAAAGCAAAATTAACCCTAAGAGACAGAGAAAGTAGGACTTTGCCCATCTTCATCAAGGGATTAAGATGAATGTCAGAAAGAGAGAACAGTGGTGGGGAACAGATGGGAAGGTAAAGGACTAGAATGTGTGTGAGGAGAGCGAACCTCCCCCTTCCTGGATGAGCCTAGAGGGGAGAAGCATCCTCTTCATGGACCCTCAGCCTGTGTTAGCTAACGGAGTACCTAGCCCTAGTGTAGGGTTCCTGAGAACTCAATAGAGCTGGTCCAACTGACACGTGCTGTAAGAAAATTACATCCTATTTCAAAGACTTATTTAAAACAAGTGAAAAAAAAAAAGATAAATTGTAGAAGATTTTTAAAAATTAATTAATCAATATTTTTGAGACAGGGTTTCTGTGGCTGTCCTGGAGCTCTCTTTGTAGACTAAGCTGGCCTGTTTTTATTTATGTATACATGTGAACCTCTCTCTCTCTCTCGTGTGTGTGTGTGTGTGTGTGTGTGTGTGTGTGTGTGTGTGTGTGAGAGTGAGAGAGAGAGAGAGAGAGAGAGAGAGAGAGAGAGATGGGGGATGCCACATGTGTTTGGGTGCCCGGGAGGTCAGAAGACAGTGTTGGATTCTCTGAAGCTGAGATACAGGTAGTTTGTAGGCCTTTTCATGTGAGCTGTGAACTGAACTAGAGTTCTCTAAAAGATCAGCAAGTACTCTTAATGACTAAGTCATCTCTTCAGCCTTGTATTCCAAAGACTTGGTTAACAGCAAGTTTAAAAACACTATTTTTATATTAAAACTGACTGCTGGATATATCAGGTTAAATGAAAAAAAAAAAAAAATGTAACTAAAGAGAAAATTCCTCAGTCTTTAAAACAAGTAACAGAAGGGAAGTGAGCGGGAGGAACTGTAAAGTAGAGGGGGCTGTAGGGGGGGCTGTAGAGGAGAGGGGGCTGTAGAGGAGGGGGGGCTGTAGAGGAGAGGGGGCTGTAGAGGAGGGGGGCTGTAGAGGAGAGGGGGCTGTGGAGGGGGCTGTGGAGGAGAGGGGGCTGTAGAGGAGAGGGGGCTGTGGAGGGGGGCTGTGGAGGAGAGGGGGCTGTAGAGGAGAGGGGGCTGTAGAGGGGGGGGCTGTGGAGAGGGGGCTGTAGAGGAGAGGGGGCTGTAGAGGAGGGGGGCTGTAGAGGAGAGGGGGCTGTAGGGGGGGCTGTAGAGGAGAGGGGGCTGTAGAGGAGAGGGGGCTGTAGAGGAGGGGGGCTGTAGAGGAGGGGGGCTGTAGGGGGGGCTGTAGAGGAGAGGGGGCTGTAGAGGAGAGGGGGCTGTAGAGGAGAGGGGGCTGTAGAGGGGGGGCTGTGGAGGGGGGACTGTAGAGGAGAGGGGGCTGTGGAGGGGGGGGCTGTGGAGGGGGGACTGTAGAGGGGCATGCTGCAGGAATGCAGCATGAACCCCAGCACTGCCTGCTTGCTTCCTTCTACTTAGCTGTTTAACTCTGGAATCTGCAAAAAGGTGGGGTCAAGTCTAAGTGACCATGCTGCTCCTTTCCTGTCAAGGAATCAAGAACTAACGATGACTGCTGCCTTTCTCATCTGAGGGGAAAGAGAAGAACTCGCTTGCTGATGAAGGAAGCAGCAGGGTGGGAGGTAATGAAAACTACAGTAAACATCCAAAATGGCTTAAAGTGTCTTGCAGACTGTAAAATGCTGTTTAACCCCAGAGATGCTTTTACTGTTCAAGTGAGTATGATGCTTTAAAGAAGAAGAAGAAAAAAAAAAAAATCAACTTTATGTATGGGTGTTCCGGCTGCATGTATGCATGTGTACTGCATGCAAACAGTGCCTACAGAGGACAGAAGACTGCATGGGGTCCCATGGAACTGGAGATACAGATGTTTGTGAGCTGCCACACGGGTGCTGGAAGAGCCACCAGTACTTTTAACTGATGAGCCATCTCTCTAGCCCCAGGATGCACAGTCCTTAAAACAAAAAGTTAAAAACCCAACCAAAGAAACAAAACCAATCCCAGAGGCTGGGACTGTAGCCACTGTGGGAGATCTCTAGGGAGCTCCGAGGGGGACTTGGTGGTGACCCTAGACCTTTGGCCTGGACTCTGTAACCTCAGGGACCTCCCTGACAGGAACCTGAAAGGAATTTCTTCTCCAGCTTCCATTTTTGGTTATGTCTGAGAAAAATAAATAAACGAATAGTCTTGGGAAGAAAAGACAAAGAAGAGGGAAGAATAAAGAGGAAAACTAGTAAGGGAAAACCAAACACAAGCTCCGTTACACAACTTCACCAGGTAGAGTGAGAACTGAAATACTATTACACTAATGTACGAGATCTGTAACAAGAATATTCACCCCACTAGAACCATAATCTAGCATGGACACGGATAGCCCCACCTAAAGGAGGAGCTCATGTGAGACTGGAGGGAAATTGTGGCTGTGTTTGCTTTTATGCTTTTGGATGCTGAGCTGCAGATGGAGGTAAGAGACCATGAGCAGGCTACCACAGTCCTCTAACACAGGCACCTACCTTGAAGTGATGCCATAAGGGAAGGCTATTTATTATAAATTTGGTGCTGGGAACACCACCCATTTATATTCTGAAGAATGTAACATACAGATTGTGGGGATTTGAACGGGAATGGCTCCCACAGGTTCATATATTTAACAGGAAGTGGCTCAACTTGACAGGGATTAGGAGGTGTAGCCTTGTTGGAGCAATTATGTCACTGGAGGTGGGCTTTGGGGTTTCAAATGCTCAAGCCATGCCCAGTGTCTTGCTCTCTGCCAGTGGACCTGATGTAGAACTCATAGCTACTCTCCAGTACTATATCTGCCTGAATGCCATCATGCTTCCCACTAAGACAGTAATGGACTAAACCTCTGAAACTGTAGCAAACTCCAATTAGATGTTTTCCCTTTAAGAGTTCCTGTGGTCATGGTGTCTCTTCACAGAAATGAGCGCTGACTAAAACGTGCAGTTATCTATTTATTCATTTATTCCGACTGTTGAACCTTGGTACGGGCTCGAATCTGCTATGTAATCCAGGCTGGTCTTGAATTTGCAATTTTGTAGCCTCAACCTCCCTAGCACATGGATACAGGTACACTCACTACACTGGGCTCCTATGCACATTCTTGTATTTCATGGAACATTTGCATCTGGTAATTTCTCAACTACAATTCTGTCCTCCACAGGGCTCAGACAGCTTGTGACTCTGCAGAGGCTGATATTGTGCAGGACAGCACAGGAAACGAGGTCATTATCCTATCTCTTAGTAAGGATGGGGGTCACTGTCTCCATTTACTATCTCCAAAGATTCAGGCTAGCTTTTAATGAGAATTAGCTATGTGGCTTGCCATAGAACATGGAGTTAAAGCCAATCACATCCCATTACTTGGGAGGTCCCTGAAGTTAATGCCCTTCAAACCTTTTTCTAAATTCAATCCAGCAGCTGACTTTAGCCAGCGGACCTCAGCTTAGCCAGCCAGAGTGGTTCCTAAGTGCACACAATGTTATCAGTGCTTTCCTGTAGGGGATTCTCAGTGAGCTCTCCACAACAGAGACATGCAGATTAACTCTGGGAGAAAAGTCTTTAAGTGCCTTTGAGTACAATGTCACTCTGCAGCTTTTTGAGGAAAACACCTTGGCTGGTGCTTCTCAAATGGCCAAAGAAATCAAGTTCAGATGAGGTGACAGTGTTCTCACCTGTTGGCCTGGGTGGTGACAAATTTGTTCTTCTTTTGTTTTGAAGGAAAAAAAAAAAACATCATTTCTCTAGCCCTCCACCCCTTTCTCTTTTGCAAAAGCAGTTACTGTCCAGGGCACCATGGCTGTATGGTTCTGGCTACTTAGGAGACTAAAGTGGGGTATGAAGATGACTTGAGCCCAGGAGATGTGGGCTAGCCTGTATAATATACTAAGGCTTTATAGTACGGCCTGGCCTCCAATAAAGAACTGTTCTTTGTACATACAATGCACATTTAGCTTCTTGATTCTGCTTCTTTGCTTTCTTATTTGTTTTTGGTGGTGTGGGGAGAGAGCCCAGGTTGTGGAACATGGAAGGCAAATGTTCTATCACTAAGCAACATATCCAAACATGTTTTGTTTAATTTTAAAGGAGAAAGATCTTCTTCATAAGTAACTATGCTCTTAAATGTGGTGCACATCCTTCTATGGTATTTTCTATGTTTTACAGATACAAGCATATGCATTTATGCCTATTCAAAGATAACTGTGAGACCTTTTGTAAACAGAAATAACATCATTATCTGTACCTGACTCAAATTCAGAAGAGGCTGTTCTTGATTGGCTTTACTGTAAACATAATTCAGTTAAAAATGATTAAAGGAACCATACATATTTACTTGGGTGCTTAAGTCACCCAAGCATTTTTGTTTTTGTATTTGAACAGGATAACCAATGAGAACAATCCTATTTTTTTCCCGCAATTAGACTTCTGCAGCAAGAAGGGGGCAAAGAAACATTTGTCCTGAAGATATGTACTGCATTCACACCCCTGTGTATTCACAGCCAGAATTGATGGAGCCCTCCTGTGGCCAGCTTCCCTGCCTGCCCCAGCAACCTCACAGTCCTTCCAAATATCACACCATCAGCATTCAGGAGGAGGGGCTGGGGATGCTCCTAGTCCTGACTTCCCATTGTTAGCTGTGTTAGCCTGAACAAGCCTTTCTCAGAGATTCTTTCCTTGCTTGCATCTAGACAGGCACGAGAAACCTACAGCAAAGGCTTAGTGAGAAAATGTGATGGACTTTGGAAAACCCCCCAACTTAAGGATAGCATTACAGGAATCCTCCCCAACTTACCCTAACCCCAGCTTACCTAAAAACATATGAAGTTAGCACCAGGTAGAAAAGAGACAGATAAAAAGACAAAAAAAAAAAAAAAAAAAAAAAAAAAGAAGAGAAAAATCACTGGGTAAACCCAGGTTCCAAGTCAGAACTTCTGAGCCATTTAATTAAGTGATTTTCATTAGTTACTGCCAAGGGAATGTAAATGGGCACACAGGCTGTATGGCCCCTATCAGGACAGAATAACAGAGGGATTCCATGATCATACAAAGTGGCACAGCCCTAACTGGCCAAGGAACAACAGGAAGTCAACTGCGCGGAAGCTGTCTAAGAACTACTTGGTCAGCTGCAGCAAGTCCCTGACTAGACAAGAGCAATAAGAACGCTTCTTTCCTTCTGCTCACACTTCAAGCAACACAGTGAATTGGCAGAGCCTGGTTTTCCCTGGCACATCTGAGACTCCCAGAATCTTTGACAAAGTTAGAGTGCTAAAAAATGTTGTTTAAAAAAAAAAAAAAAAAAAAAAAAAAAAAGGAAACTCTGACAAAGGCAGACCACAGGACAAAGGTACTTCCCACACTCCCCTACCCTGGCCAGGATCCTTACCATCCGCTGCACTGAAATACTCGGGGTTCACAGAGGCATACAATACTCCATTGCCCAACCTGCTGTTATTTCTGTCAAAAAAGATGAAATTCAGGTCAACAACCCCATCTCTATATCTATACATCGCTGTAATATTTTCATCCTTTCTTTTTCCTTCCTGTCTTGAGAAAGAGATGCAAAGCATGCTCAGAGCTAATGGGACCTTGGGATTCAGACCCTGGTGGGCCAGCAGATACCTGAGGACAAGTCCTTTAGCTTCTTTGATGGCCTCAGGTTAGAGCTTTGGTTTCTCTGCTTCACCGGAAATAACAAGGCTCACTTGATGGGAAAGCTAATCTGGCATGCTTGGAGAAGCTCTTTACAAGCCAGCAATCTGTGCCAGCACAGCCAGAAAGGGGAAATGGGAGCTGGGTGGTGGCGGCAGCACACGCCTTTAACCCCAGCACTCAGGAGGCAGAGGCAGGTGGATCTCTGTGAGTTAGAGGCCACCATGCTCTACAAGGTAAGCTCCAAGGTAGCCGAACTGTTTGTTGTTCAGAGGAGCCTTGTCTTGAAAAAACCAAAAAAGGGTAAGATGATTACCTCTCATTAATCATCAGGAAATGCTCATTTTGCCTCTGGAGAATGTTTGACTAGGAACTCAGGTTGTCAGTCTACATCATATTTCCCCCCATAGACGGATCTATGTTCAAGCTCAAATCATCAATCCGGCTGGCTACAACTATCGCCTCATGCTAGCCCAGACACTCACCTCTTCCTATGGAAGACATACAGCATGATGACCAGTCCCCCCACAATTAGCAGGATGGCAACTGGCAGAGCAATGATCAGGTGCATGAAATTCTCATACGTTGCTGCAGAAGCAAGAAGAAACAGGCTATGTCAGGTCAGTAATCGGCTTGTCTTCCTGTTTTTATCTGTGGTTGGAAGTATGATTAAAAATCGTTTCTGAAAAACCCTTTACTCCCTTCACCACACACTAGGAATCTTCAAGGTAAGTGTCAGGACAGGCCCAGCAAACAAACAGTTTGGAGAAAATGGTAAATAACTACAGATGCAAGTATTATACTTCTTCAAAGTGCTGTATATTCTGAAATAATAGTTCAAATGACAGCCTGAAAGCAAATGATTTTTGTGTGTATTGGTATGGAAGTTTATATACATTTGCTGAAGTAAAATGGAACAGATCTCAGACTTACACACACACTAACTGCTTATGATGTGCTGATCTTTACAAAATTTCCACGGACAGCTGCTCCCCCCCCTCCACCACTGGATGATACTTCTTGCCAATGTTGCCAGGTCTACGAGGAGGAGTTAGGGGAACATGCCATCCTCCCTGAGTTATGTTTGTATTGCTTAATTCAGACACAGGAAGAAATCCTCTTCTATAAGCAAGATCAGAGAGCTGATCTAACTTCCCCAGGGGTTGCATTGGCAAATGGCAAGTCACATTCTCAAGTAAGAGCCTGGCCCTCCTGCGGGCCTTGCTCATAATAGCCTCACCACAGAACTAGAAATCTTTGGGCTCATGGCGGTGAGCATGGCAACAGAGAGGCCAGGTTTGAGGCATGCATCAGAAAGAATTCATAAGACTCCAGTTAAAATGGAAAAACAAACAAAATGAGTGGCTGGGGAGAAGGGGTGAAGACAGCTATGAGAGCTTATCTGAGTGACCCCTGGAACACTGATAAGGAATTGGAAGGAAAGAAGCATTTCAATGGCAGCTGTCTGGATTTCACGTTTGCCTATAAGAAGCCCATAGTTAATATCAGACACCCATGTAGACATGTCTACGCTAGTGCCAATGGGATGGCTTTGTGGGCAAAATCACCTGCTGGGTCACCCTGGCAACCTGAGTTCAATCCCTGGAACTCATGTAAAAGGAGAAGACAACCAGCTCCTCAAAGCTGTCCTTCAAACTCTCCACGTGTACGGTGGCAAAAAAGACCACAAGGGCACACACAAGACTAGTAAGTAAAAAATAGGAATGTCTACTTGGAAAGGAGCTGGGAACGCACTGGAAACATCTCCATGGACCAGGAGTCACACACCAATGATTAGTACATCTCTAGAATCTATTCTTATTTTTGAACTATTACAAAAACCAAATTCATTTTTCAAATTAAATCTATTTTTTAATCTAGTATCTTTCAAAAATGAACGAAGTTCGGCAACTTCTAATTCCTAAAAGTATTCAAAGGTATCCCTACCAATGAGGAGCACAGAGCTTTTTTCCCCCAGGAGAGTTCTTGGTTTTCTATTACTGATACCACTGGTCATGATATGCTGTGTTCTTTCTGAAGTTTCCCATTTTAACAGGGACACGAAAAAACTGGAACACAACCAGAAGAACAAGACTGCTAGAAAATTGCCTGTGCAACTGGTCCTCGAGAAAAGGCTGAAAGACCTGAGACTATTTAATCTGGAGGGGAGCTATCTGAAGAGGAATTTAATAGGACTCAAGCACACAGAGTTCTTTAGAAATAGCGGGTGGTGCAGAACATTCAGGGTATCCCTCTAAACCGCAGCAGCAGAGTCTTGTCAGAACCTAGGAAAACTTGCCAGGAGCAAAGAAAGCTAGCATGCAGCTTCTAATGGAGAAAATGAATCACAGGGATGTTTAGATGCCCCGGTCTTGGTGGTACAAACAGATAAACAAAGGCAGATACAAACATGGCTGCTCCTAAGGAACGCCAGGCTCACTCAGCTCCAGAAGCCAAGGACTGCTTCTTCAGAGAACGCTACAAAATATACCTAGCCTGTGGACCCCAGAAATAAGCAGAAGGGTAGGGAAGGGTTGGGGAGATGATGACAAAGCCTGGACAGAGCCCAGCAATAGCAGGGCTCCAGTGCTGGTGTGGTGGCACAGGGTACTGTGGTTAAGAGGGTAAATGTCCCCCAAAGACTTGGATGTTTAGAGTCTTGGTGGCTTGCCTGTGTCACTACTGGGAGCTAATGGCAACCATAGGAGGTGGGTCTTAGAGGGAAGAAGTTACATCATTGGAAGGTAGGTGTCCTTGAAGAGAACTGTGGACAGAACCTAGCCCCTTTCTCTCTTTTGGAGGTAAAAAGCTCAGCTCCATCATGTAGTTACCACTTGTGATGTTTTGTCTCAGCACAGTTCAAAAGTAACAGTCAATGGACTATGGCCTACAACCTCCAAAACTGTGAGCCAAAACAGATCTCTCCCTCTAGTTATCTCAAGTGTTTGTCACAATGGAAAGCTACTGCAACATCATACTGGAGAATTAGCGCCGAAGCTAAATACGAGGCTAGGCTACTTGGAATAAATAAGAAAATTCAGATTATAACCAACAGAAATCTCTATCCCATTACTCCTAAAACCTACACCTAGGCCCACCAGCAGCAGATACATGGAATCTTAGCTTACTGTTTATAATTCTATTCTTTTGTTATCTGTCACTAGGAGGATTTTTCAAGTGTTTCTTTCAACCCCTACAACTGATCCCCTCATCTGCTGGTGGGTACTTAGGTTATTTCCAGTTTGGTTATTGTGTCTAGGGCCTCAAGAAACAAGACAGTGGACAACTCTTTGAGACACCAATGTCATTTCTTCTGGATGGGGACTGCTGGATGTGTCGACACCTTGTTTGAATAAAGAATCCAGAAAAGATCAGTAGGGACACAGACACTAGGAAACAACAGTCCACCAGACCCAAGATTCTAGCTACCAACCAAAGCTGAGCTGAGATTTTGGTGGGGTACAAGAGGAATTCACATTTGATTCCATTGTATTATTTGTCCCTATATTCCATGTGTATGAACTAATCTGAAATATCTGGTTTCCAATAAGACATCTAAAAATGCACTATACAAAACTTCACCAAAGAAAAGACTACATTTTATGGTCATGTAACCCTTGTATTTAAGCATTTCACATTTAGTTTTACATATGACATCACCATTTAGAACAGCCTTCTAAGAATCCTGTCTTCTCAGTGGTTTGAATGAAACTCTGTGCAAAATAATAAGTAAAGTATCTTTCAATGTATATTGATGGATTAAAATACCTGTTTTTCACCACTGGACAGATGAGGGGAGGAGGATGACTCTGCCTGGGAAGGTGGACTGTAGATTTCTGCCCTAGAGCACTGAGACTATATGATCGCTGGTTTTTTTTTTTTTTTTTTAATTTCATGATTCTGAGTGTTGGCTCTAGGCTGTAGCCACTTTCACTGACTAGGCAGGAGATGGCATATTCAACTCAATAATTTGCAAACTGCCTCTTCACATAAGCCAGAGTAAAAGCAGAGTTGTCTTCTAGCTCTCCAGAGGTTGTGCTACCTTCTAGTCAGTCACATGAGATAAGGACCCAAGGGTCAGCATCTTCCCAGGCTGAGATCAGAGATAACACACTAGTTTGTGCCCCTATCTTATAACTGACCAGCTCTGGTGTGTGTGTGTGAGTGTGTGTGTGTGTGTGAGAGAGAGAGAGAGAGAGAGTATCACAGATCTGTGCACACCAAGGATAAATGTCAAATATCTTCCTTTATGGCTTGCAACCTCATTTTTTGAGGCGAGATCTTTCATTGAACCCAGAGCTCACCAATGAGCTAAACTGGCTAAATAGCAAGCTACAAGTGTTTTACTGTTCATCTACTGAACAGTGAGGTTACAGAAGCACACCACCACTCCTGGTTTTGATGCGAAGGATCTGAACTCAGATCCTTAAGCAATTATTTTACCCAATGGGCTATCTCCTCAACCTGGCCAGCCTTGTTCTAACAGAAAAGCAGACATCAGAAGCCCAGCTCAGGCCCAGCCGGCTTTTAGTTTTGCCATGTATCTCCCTCCTAAGACTTACTCTTCGCTGGGACATAGAAGAACACAGGATCTGTCCACGACCCATTGCCGGAGAGAGAGGTGGCCTGAATCCGGGCTGTATAGTTCCCCGGGTTTAGCCGGTTAAGCTTGGCCCCTCCATACTGCCTGTATTCCTGTCTGGACACACATTCCCGCTGATCCTAAAGAAATGAAACATTAAGTGTTAAAACTTCCTACAAGCAAGGACTGACTGACACCTGCTAGCTCATCACTGTGCTAATAACACCAGTCGCCCAACATCTGCCTAGCAATCATCCAGGTCATCAACATAAAGGCAGAAATTGGACCTGTAAGGTGGCACATGGAAAACCCTCATCAGTCATGTTTGTAATTGAAAGAACTCCAGAGGAATGAAGAGTTATCAAGATGTGTCTCGCCTGTGACACAAGGTCTATCTACAATGAAACTGTTTACAGGTAAAGTACAGCCAGCCAGCTCCTTGTGCTGTGGTTACTGCTCCACAGAGCCTGGGTTTCTGGGAGACCCTGATTCCTCACTGACTGACCAGCAGAGCAGTGAGTGGCATGTGATAACAAGTGCTCCTAGTGCTCACAGGAACACCCACAGGTGCAGGCCACAGTCCTGGCCTTACCTCGACTTGTGATCCATACTTTATTTCATACATTAGAATCAATCCGTTGGGATTCTCAGGTTCCGGCCACTTTAAAAAGATGGAATTTTCAGGTCTTGGCTCCCAGGTCACTGGTCCAGGAATGTCATCTGCTCCTTCTGCAGAAAGACATTGAGTTTAGGTCTCCAAAAAATATGACAAATGGCAGGCTAACATGAGAATGGCTCTTCATTAACATGTGTATGCAGGGCTGCACAGGGACGTCGTGGGGGCCCTCCTGAGATGGCTGCTAGCACAGGTGAAGGATTAGGTACTGGACATGCCTGGTGACCTGTCATCTCAAGGTTCCACAGCACCTTGACACTGACTGGTCATCACCAGAAAAACCCTCACACTCCTGACAACCTAACTCACTCTCTCTCGGTCTGTTTTTCCTGTCTAAAGAAGAACGAACCCCTCAAACACAGCATCCCTGAAAGAGGGCAGTGAGTTTCAGTGTGTTAAGCCTCCTGCTGTGGTACTGACTCTCCACAGGCCCAAATCCTCACAGCAACTTAGTGGCTGTCTGGGTGACTGCAAGGGAAGAAGGGGCTCAAAAGGAGGCCCACAGGCTGCTCTGGTGGGCCAGGAGGATCAGTGCATCCTCTGGATAAAGGCAGCGGCTTTATTCGAAACCTGGAGTGTCCTCTCAGGTCTGCAGTGTGCTAAGAAGACCTCACCTCTAGCCCTCGGCACTACTGAGAGATGGTAAACCCTTTAGGAGATGGGGCCTCACTGAGGGAAGTCAGGGCACTAGGGAGCAGCCTTTCCTCTCTCTTCTCCACGGCGGCCAGGAGGGGGACAGGTCTCCTTTACCACCCACTGCTGACATGATGTGCTGTTTCTCTATAAGCCCAAAAGGATTAGGCAAGTAAGTGCCTATGGTCCAGAACTCCCCAAACACACACTGTGCCCAAATAAACCTTTCTTCCCATTAAGATGATTAGCTCAGGTATTCTGTGAAAGCGATGGCAAGCTAACTCACTCAGCTGTGCACAGAAGGGTGAAGGGCTGTGCACAGAGTACACATGAGAGCCAAGCAGAAGCAGGAGTGGGAGCCCTGGCGGAGGCTTGGAAAGACTTTCTTTGCTGAGCCCAGGATGGGACCTGGAACTGGGAACATGCTCTCTGTTTCTTAGGCTCCTGATGGACAACGCTGTGTATCAATGACCACACAGTCGTAGGACTCAATCTAAGGGCTGTCCCTCCTCTGGCTGTCAGCCTCTCCCCCAGGCTGTGATGTGCCATACCTGCAGGCATGGTTCTCGCAAAGACAAAGTTGGAGGCACTGCAGCCCAGCTTCTCGGCTTCGTGGTTGCAGCTGTGGATATCGATACGGTACAAAGTGAAAGGCCGGAGGTTGGAAATGACAGTTCTCTCCTTGTTATCCACTCTGCTCTCAAAGAAAGGGTACTCTGTCTCGAGCTCTTCTGGGTCTGTGATATTGTAGGTGTCAGCCACTGTGGTGTTCCTGCTTCGGCTAGACATGGTGGTGTTGGCCACTTGCATGATATCTCTCCGCCTCCTTTCAGGTCTGCAAGGAAGAGAAGGCCAGCTGGTAAAGGCATAAGCTTTGTCTTGTCTATGGCCAAGAGGGAAGTAACAGAAAAGGAAAATCCTAGCCTTGAAATAAACGAAACTTTTAGGCTCCTTGGATAAGAACCAACACACACCAAGGGAATTTCCTTCTTCATGATCCATCTTGCATTCTCTGTGGCACCCTCAGAAACACCCACACTCACACTTGCACCCAATCAAGAGCAAACAATACATCAGCCATTCTTAGCCAGGCATTGCTGTGTTTCACCCAACTGACATTGCTACTTGGTCAGCCTTGATGACTGACCACTGAAACGGACAAACCCACCTGCCTCAGCTAAGACTGATTAGGAAAAAGTGAGAGAGCTGAGGCCTAAGACACACGGGGCAGAAGGGATCCAAAGGCCTATAGTAGCAGCTTTCTTGATCTTCTCTGAAAGAGAAGCAAGCAAGTCCGTAAATCCAGGGCTTTTCCTGAGTAACAGGGACTCCTAGTAATGGATGCCTGCAATCCCTAATGCCTGCGTTATGGTCTTGGAGGTCCATCAAGCCTACCTTTGCTCCCCATTTAGCAGTGGGTACCTGTGGCCTCCCAACATCCTGCCTGCGAGGGGAGTGGAGCCTCTGCCATTGACTTGTGTTGGTTTGAAAACAACAGAAAAACAACAGGAACAGGTGAGTGGGGCTCCATCTGCCTCCGAAAACCCTAAAATCAGGCTTCAGACACCAAGAAGAACTGAGAAATAAAAACAGAACAACAGACAAGCCCCTCTATGAGGAACACACCACCCTCAGGCTAGCTGTGGGCAAACGGTGGGAAAGCTGGGTGCTGAGGCTATTGCTGCACTGCCTGGGATTAGGCAAGGGATGGCAGCAACAGGTAGATGCAGTCTGCCTGGTAAGAACATGAAAAGTACATGACAACAGCAGTGCCTAGAATAGAGAGCTCATCAGTCTCAGTGCAGGAGTGCCCAGCAGAGAGGAGGAGAAATCCACACACAGAGGGAGGCACCTTGGAAGCCATGCCCCAGGCCTATGGATGGATGGTCCCTAAGCCCTGGAAGAGTAGGGTTGAGGTCCAGAGGAAAAGGGCTGCATGCTCCCCAGCCTGCTCAGCAGATGGATCTGCTATCAAAATCACAGTTATTTGTCAGGTGTTGACACGGCAGGCCCCACTACAAGTGTATAAACAGCCTGTGCAGGGCCTGTCTCCAAAGGCAGGGATGTGCATTCATTTTCATGATGCTGGAGAAGGAAGAGCTAGGCAACAAGAGTACTAGTCTACCATGTTCCCAACCAATCAAGAGACTATCTACCTTCCTGGAAGGAAGATACAAGAAACCACATTTTCATTTTGCTAGGAAGACATTCAAAACATTACTAATAAATTTCCTGCCTCCCTTTTGAGACCAGCACAACACAAACTTGTGTCTACATGTACGAAGTTTCTTGCATTTGATTTATTGAAAAATGATACTAGGTCCACTCCCTTCTTAGTAGTCTGCTTATTTGTACACACTACACTTTTGTAGACTGCCTAACAGTTACTATGGATATAGAGTCAGGACTAAAGAGGGAGGCAATATAGGCATTAGAAAATTGGGGATGATGTAAACAGAGTGGCCCAGATTTGTCAACAGCTACATTCCAAATGGGGTGGCCAACAGCACGCTGTATCATCAGCTTTCCTCACTTTGCAAAATAATTGCTATTGGAGAATCTTGCCTTTCTTAACATTTGTCAACATTTTAGTGATATAAATTATGTAACTTGTAAAGATAGCAGCCAATGCAGTCATTTACCAAACACCAAGTTCAGGAAGTAACCTAATAAACACTACCTTCCATTCTATTACAAATAAGCACACAGGCAGAGTCAGGCACTGCAGACAATCTGACTTATGTGCCTTTAGCCTCCAAATAAATTGTGCCTAGAATGACATGTAAGTATGAACAACTTTTAGGTAATTCAGTTGTACAACAGTCTTCATGACTCATTCCTATCATCTAGGGTGCTCTTTTACAAGGGCCTTGCTAGAACTTGTATGGGTGCCAGATCTATGCCTTGATAGGAGGCAAATACCAAAAGCAATCAAACCAAACCAAAAAGCCCAAATAGCAAGGTGTAGTAACACATATCTGCACGTTGGGCTTGTTTCAGGACATAGAAGTCAAGCTGCACGACAGGGTGATGGCATTCAGCACTCAGGATCCAGCTGAGAGTACAGACACTTCAGTCACACCTAGGTCAACCACAGCTCTGCTGCCCCATCACTCAACCTGGTGTTCCACAGCCAATGATAACTGCAGCAGCAGTGGCGATGTCATGTGAATACAAGCAAATGACTGAGTGGTATTCTCAAGAGGGTGGTCTAAACAGAAGTTGTCACAAAAGCAAAACTAAGCTCTCAACTTCTACCCAGTTTCCCGTCTGCCTCCTGCTCTCTCCTTCTCACAAGCACTTCTGCCATAATGCTCTGCCATGCAACACAGACAAGGATGCCTTCATCAGAGCAGAGGCATGGCGGCTCTGTGCTCCTCCTCTTTAAAACCACTGAGCTATGCACACCACGGAGCATCAGATAACTAATAATCCTTACTCACAACCTGAACCTCTGGCAGCATCAAGCACGTGTATGGTCAAGAAGTCCTGGATTTGACTGACACCCAGTACAATGTTGAGATAGGGGAAGACTTCCTGCCTAGCCTCCTCAGGACACTATACCTAGGCATTCTTGTGGTTATACAACTTTTACCAGCTGAGCACTGGTTTGGGTGGACTGGCCCACATAGACAATCCATTGAAAGGAAAGAGAGGTCTGGTGTTGAACAATGTAGGTTTGAGATCCAAGACTCAAGCTGAAAGTAAATCACTACATCCAGTTTTTAAAACACCTTTTGATTTGATTAGGTTTTCAAATTCAAGGGAACACAGTTGATACACTAGGAACACAGGTAAAAAACTGCAGTGCATCCTGGCCCACAAAGTTGACTTCAACAGCTGCCCAGCTGCCTTCCAACCAAGGGAACTGTGCCCAGTGAGAATACATAGTCTGCTACAGGGCACTAAAAGCTCTAGCAAATTTTCACTGTGAGAGCAGGGGAGGGGAATAAAGCTGCCAAGAAGTCAGGAGTTCTAGTCTCAAAGGACTGGACCCTCCAGATCTAACAGGTCTGTTTTCTACTCCACTGACTCTTCAGATGAAGAGGGATATCTTTGACCATTTCACAAATATCAAGGAAGTCATTTTAAAATCTATTTGTTGAGACAATCTAAGAAAAGCACTAAAGGCAAAGTAACAGCAGGATAAACAGCAGCTGAAGGCTTGTGGAACTTCAGGAGGAGGAACAAGCCCAGAGGACTGCAGGCAGCTGGGGTTCTGGGGGGACCAGGGCACTGGGCTGGGTGCCTCACTGGTCTGAATCCAGCTGTCCAACCAGTTTTCAGCCTCCAGGGTTGTACACAACTTTTCAGGAGGAGAGCCCAGAGTCATTTCCTTAATCTCCTCCCGGATAGCACTAGCTCCTCTGTGCCTTAAAAAATCCCACTATGTTATTTGCTTCCACAGCACATATACTAAAACGCAAACAACTATTGTGCTCACCATTTTAACTGTCATAAAGTAAACCACCAAATTAAAAAAAAAAGAGATCTCTAACATAAGCTTTTAACTATTTTAAATATGCAACTTAATGACATTTGACTACAGTGAAAATGCACAGCCACTGTCACTACTTCCAAAAGACTGTGCTGCCTCAAACAGAAACTCTAAAAATATGATCACCTGCTTCCCTCTCCACTCTGTTTTTACCCCCTAGGAAACTCTAACTTGCCACAAGATTATTCTACATATTTCATATACATAAAACCACACAGTATCTATTCTTTATTGTCTGGCTTTGTTTCATTTTTGATGGAGTTTTCAGGATTTGTGCATGTTATACCATTAGTCAGCATTTCTTTCCATTTTACAGTTAACTAGTATTCCATCCAATGGCTATACAACCTTTTATTTATCCATCTACTGATGTACAACTGGGTTTTCTTCTATTAAAGTTAAATACATTTAATTCTCCCCCCCATGCTCAGCAAGGGATAACTTGTGGGGGTCAGCTCTCTCTCTCTCTCTCTCTCTCTCTCTCTCTCTCTCTCTCTCTCTCTCTCTCTCTCTCTCTCTCTCTCTCTCCCTCTCTCCTTCCACCCTGTGGGTTCTGAGGACTGAACTCAGAATGCAGGGGTATAGGCTCAGGAGTGGGTGCTTTTACCTACCGAGCCATCTCACTGGTCCCTTTTCAGTTTGCATTCTTACCCTGCAGAAACCGAGGGGAGAACACGGGAGCAGAGGGAACACTTGGGACGGTGCTGCACTCTGCTTATGGAACCTGACTGTAATGGACACACTGAGCACATGACTATGTTCTGGAGCTGGGTCACTTTTGAAACTGATTCCAGCCCCCACTTGAATCACTCCTTCTCTGCCAGGTTGAGGGAGTCAAGAGGAGGGTAGAGCAGGGATGGGCCTGATCCTCAGCTTTTCCCTTTACTGGTTTCCCTGAGGACAGTCAAGTAACTCAGGCAGCGCTACCACGGCCAGGTGACAATGACCCTATCTGCTCTGTGAGGGAGGTGATGTGGCTGAGGTTATGTAATTCTCATACATACACAATCACCTCCTCCCATAACAGGAGCCTGGGGCCCCTTCCTTCAAGGCTAGCCTTCTGTAGGAGTTCTGCTGACCATACTGAGAGCATCTTTTGTTGCTCCCTCAAGTGGGTTCCATGTTGTGCCTCTCCATGCAGTGAGCAATGAAGAGATGGGCCTAGCCGAATAGCACCAAATGTGGCACTTGTAAAGGGGACACTCACCTGGGCACAAAGATGGAATTGTGCAGGAAATTCTCAAAGACTTTGCGGTACTCGGCCTCTTCCTTCTCAGCCTGTTTCTCGGCTTCAGTTTTGGGACAAGCACAGCAAGGCCCTTTGTCACCACCACACACTTCTGTCTTGGGATTCTCCGTCACCTCTTCCACATCAATGGTACCATCTGCGTACTTTCTGATGGGTATTTTGTCTACTCGGAACAGAACAGAGTGGGAATGAAAGTCCTGTACAGGGCTCGTGAGCACTGTTAATGGGGAAGGGGGCTGGCCAGTCTGCACTGCTGAGAAACAAGCCCGGCACAGGACAGGTCTCTAACACTGGCGCTCAGGTTCTCCCAGACAAAACACAAGGCAGGCTGCATCACCTGACTGCTGGCCCAGCTCACCTTTGGAGCAGTAGTTGTGCCGATACAGGTAGCCATCCTGTGGCTGCCGTTGCCACCTCACAATGTAGTAACTCAAGTTACCATTGGGCAGAGTTGGGGGATTCCATTTCACAATCAGCTGAGAAGAAGAGTTTGATGCCGAAAGTACATCTAGGGGAATGGAAGGAACTGGAAAGAAGAACAAAGGACATTTGAGGTGGAGGTTATCAGGGACACAATGCAAACCAACAGGAAGCTGCAGGTTTGACCTGGCCACAAAGATAGCAATAGGCCAAGCAGAACACAGAATGAACCTGAGCCTTGTTTTGAAAGAACATTAACTGGAATGCCAGCCTTCTCTTCAGAGCATCTGTTCTCAGGTAATCTCTGCACAAACACACATGGCTCATGGAGCTGGACTGAAGAGGCTATGTATGCATGGCCAGGGGTAGAGGGGACTTTGCAAATCTACAGTTGTTCACTTATGACAACTGCCACTTTCCAGTGTGTTTTAGCAGAGAGCAAACTGAAGTCCTCAGTACTTCTGTGATCGCAAATTTGAATGAGAAGGGACACAGAGACAAATTGAAAAGTAGAAGTGGGGGCTGGAAAGTGTGTGGAGTATGTTGTGTGCCTGAACCTGTATGAAAGGACAGGAGCACAAACCACAGATCCTGTAGGCAAGGTTGTGTGGGATGGCTAAGCCATGACCCTGGAACGCCAGCACACATGAGCTCTGATTTTATGCAAAGTCCCGCCAGCAAGAGGAGTTTAATAGTCCAACTGAAGCTTGCTTACTACTCAAAAAGAACTGACTTAATGTAAAAAGGAAAACATCTAGGACCACTGCCATGTTCTCAGCAGAGTTCCCATAGCAAAATCAATGCCACAGCTAAAGTACTGCCCACTCCCAACACACACACACACACACACACACACACACACACACACACACACACACACACACCCCACAAAGAACAGATTTTGGCATTTTCGAAAGTGCAAGAAATAGGATCATGGTATGTCTCTTGAGCATGTGGTCCAACTAAGCTGTTTTTAAAATCTGAAAGGCAAAAACAGGCTGTGCTGGCTAGTTTTATGTCAGGTTGACACAACCTATAGTCATCTGATAGGAGGGAAACTAAATTGAGAAAATGCATCCATAAGTCAGAGCAATAGGCAACCCTGTAGGGCATTTTCTTAATTAGTGGTTGATGGGGGAGGGCCCAGGTTATTGTGGGTGGTGTCATTCCCTAGGCTGGTGGTCTTGGGTTCCATAAGAAAGCATGCTGAGAGTAAGCCACAGGAATCAAACCAGTTAAGTTAGCAGCACTTCTCCATAGGTCCTGCCTCTGCTCAAGTTCCTGCCCCGGCTTTTTAATGACAGACTGTGAACCAGATACGGAAGTCAAATGCTTTCCTTGCCAGGTTGTTTTTGGTCACATACCACATCAACAGAAAGGACTAACTGGATAATAAGAATTTTGGGATGTATGAGATGCTCAAGACTCTGAGAACTGCTGAGAAAAGGCATGCTAAGAGATTAGGACTAATACTAACTCTTGCAAAGAAACTATAACCATCAATGTCTGGTCCCTTCAGGGTTTCCAAAAGTTTTTCTCAAAGTTTATTATTAGATATTTCAACACAGGATGCATAGATGAAGCAGAGGCAAAGGATGGACCAAGTCCTGAGCACATGTGAGGACAAGGGCCAAAATGCAGTTTTTAATATTTAGGAAGAACAATCAGATCTCTTAGCAATCTGCTGCAAGAAGAAATTCTACTCTCATTCTCAAATATGCTGCAAAGAGTCTCTGGGAATGTTATTCCCAAATTTTTGATGAAAGATGAATATATTCTGTTGCATTTGAAATTCCACTAAATCAACCCATTCCCATGGCAGGAAGCCCATGGAAAATTCATTTCTATTAAGACTTCAGGGTCAGCAAATGATGGTGACTGCTTATGGGGGGAGGTTTGGAGAAGTAGGGGTGCATGAGCTCTGTTATTTTTAAAATTTTCTCACTTTGCCATTTTATACTTACTTTGTGCTAGTCTGCACTATTTTAACACACTCTACTCACTGTAGCAATCTGTTCTCAGAGAATGTTTACTGGTGCTGTGGACTATGTGTGCACCTCACCCCACAAGTCACTATGCGGAAATCCTAGCCTTCAGATTTTGGGGCTTTGCAAAGTGATTAGGTCATGAGGGTGGAGTTTTAATCAACAGAACTAACATTAACAAAAAGGAGGTCAGAAACTGCCGTGTGCACCCTTTGGGCATGTGAGGACATATCAAACAGATCTCCATGAGCCAAGAAGTTGGCTTACACAAAACACAAAATGCCAACCCTTTGATCTTGGGCTTCCCAACCTCTGTAATGGCTAGAAGTATGTTTCCTTGCTTTGTAAGTCACCCCGTTTATAGGATTTTTGTCATAACAGCCCAAATGTATCAAGACAGTCATTATCTTTACAATGAAGTACATCTATCTACCATTAGCCTTTGCATACAAATTCACACAAACGTTTGCTTTCACCATTTCTAGGTTTTGGAGTGGGGGAACTAGTACTTCAGCACATGAAGAGAAGCCCATGCTTGGATGGCACAATGCTCTAAGCCTATTAGGTTTTTAGCCTTTATTTGCCTGATGAAAATGCTGATGGCCACAGAATAAAGATGGAAAACCAGTAAGCCAATAGATCAGCACAGATCTAGTACACAGATCAGCATCATTTTAGGTCCTAGCATTAAAACAGATGAGAACAGCCATAGGTGGCTACATCCTGGGCATTCAGAAAGAAACCATCTTACATTTCCGGAGGACACAGGCTCATTAGCATAGACCAGAGAGACAGATGCTTAAGATGGTACGAAGTTCAGAAAATGGCTCAGCAGAATTTAAGGTGTTAGCAGTCAGAAGAATACAACACAGTGTTAAGCAGCAACAACAGGTATCTCATTACTATCCCTACAGTCATATTGTGCTCATGTAACCATAACAAGCTTGTAACAAGTTAGGGAATGGGGCAGGGAGCTCATCTAGTGCACAGATACCTGAAGCATTGGTGCGAATGTATAAGATTTCACTTTTGGCCCCACGGATATGGTCGTTTTCTACCATGGTGAGGGTCACAGCCTTGACATAGACAGCATACTGGGTCCAGGGCTTCAGCCCATGCAGTAAAATGCCAGGCTCCCCTTCCTTGTTGGGAGGTAGGTCCACATCCACCATGTTCCAGCTGTTGGAGCCACAGGCATCCTGTCCATCATATTCTGTAACATTTTTAAAGGGTCTGAAAGACAATCAACGAAGGCCAGAGAATGTTGAAGGGCTCTGGCATCACAGCTCTCAAGAACCTTCCCCAGGGGCTGAGTGTGTCTGTCACACTATCTATAATGGGAATGCCAAATAAAACTCATCATCAACTAGATTTCTATACGAGAATAAAATCAAGCATCTGGACTGGGGGGCTCACCAGCTATGAACCACAGAACTGAACAAGCAGCCTCAAAGAGACAGCAAGTTCCATATTCACAGGGAGTGGAAAAGCTGCTCCTAAGAGAGGCAGATGCTAATTTTCTTTCTTCTGAATTGGAAGTTTTAAAAAAATCATGGATGTTTAATACAAACACTGGATATTGGTAAAGGATTATTTTTGAACAAAACTTTCTTACCAAAAAAAGTTTCTAAACTATAAGTTGGTAATAGCTGTTTTGATGCTTAAATATCTGATAATATTCAAATATTTTATTTCTTGATTGTCTCACAGAAAGTGGCATTAGCGTAATCACCAGTTAACATGGCCAGTATATTGGCAGCACTTTCAAAGACAAGAGAGAGTTCTGTACAGATACACGGTGAGTGAGTGGAGTCTACATTTATGAGATGAAAGGGTTGCTGGCCACTGGATTCTGAAATCATATCAACATGACCTGTGTGCAACCATAATGGGCACAATGGGAGGTGGGGGGCTCCATTCCTATTCCTGTGGGCTATAACAGTTCCCAGGGTCCTAGGTCCAGCAGCTGGGAATACACCAGCCATTGCCACAGGCACCTTTGCTTCTTGCTTCTGGGGAGGCAAGCCTTGGGAAAATGGATGACCATGCAGAGCAGGGAACCACCTGAACACAGGACCAAACAGGGTGATAGAAGGCCTTCGAGGGCTGCAATGTCCCATGGAGCAAGTCATAACCTCATAGGCAGGATGATGCTATCAGTACTGGGCAAGTCTTGGAAGATCCTGGGAACTGTTGACACTGAGGCTGGTCCCTCTCCATTGTTCTTTAGCACATAGGGCTCATGACCCAGAAGAGTCTGGGCAAAGCCATGCATGAATAGAGCGAATGGAAGATATTGCACCAGCTCACGGTAACCTCGGTGAGAGCAGTGCATCCTGGGGTATTCGGAGACAGAGTCTTAAAACAGTATTTTAACCATGTCCACATTATAGCTTTTGACAGTTTGGATGGATCCAATTCTCTTAAAAATTCAGCCCCTTTTCCTTTGGGTTGAATTTGATCAAACATCCAAACCATCTAAACCATGAAAGGCCTGACTAACTGTCACAAGTAGGGACAGTGTCATGTGACAAACTAGAGGGACTACATGATGATCAAGTGGTCACTTGGCCCGATTCTTCAAAGGAAATCCACTGACTACCTCTTCAATCAGCTCACACAACAAAGCAAAGGCCTTGCCATCTCCACCCTCGAGCCCCACACCAGGACAGGCACAAACACAGAAACTCACGCCTCCTTGTAGTACACTGTGAAGCTGATGAGATCCCTGTAGTCTGGGGGCCGGTACCGGTGCCATGTTATGATGATGCGGTTCTTTGATGTGGTGGTGGAGGTAAAACGGAGAACGTCACTTTCACCTGGGGCATAAAGGCATATCCATGAGTGACAGAGATCCACACATTTCCACAAAATCTGTGCACTACTTCTCTGTCCTGAAGCTAAACTATGTCTGGATCTTGTAGGGGACTTTCTTACTTTCCATAAAGGGTCCAAGTGTTTCACCAGGGAGCCTCCTATGGGCTCATCTTTCACTAGAGTTCAGTTCATTGCACTGGCCACCCAACCAGGGAATGGAGCATGGACCTGTAATTGCTTCTCAAGCTGTGAGAAGAGCCTCTTTAGTGAGAAAGGTGGCCTTACCTTTCAGCTCATCCACAGTAAGCTGGTGCTAAAGGGGATCTGGTTAAATGATGGCAAACCTGTAGGCTGGCCTGAGAGAGAACAAGTGCTCTGCAGGTGTCGGCTTCTATGAAGCCACCAAAGGCAGATAGGTATACGACCTGCCACGAAAAGGAGCTTCTCTTAGCCTGAACTTGACACAAAACCAGAAGCTTAGACCTCAGAGTGATCTAGCAGGAGTGAGACTAGGTGGGCCCTGACTTGGGCAAGCCTTGTGCTCTGTGCAGGTGCACCTCGCCTGTGAGGTATGGTGTGGCACTGCGCCTGTCCCAACTGCAGCAGGATATTCCAACTGCAAAGGTGGAACACCCAAAGTTAGCCAGCAAGTTTTCCTTATCCCCAAACTGCTTGAATCTTTCCGTCACACTAATGAGCTAAAGGCAAAAGACTGAGAACAGGATACTGACAAAGTCTTCTGGGTAAAATGTGCTCAACGGAAACCCAGGGAGATCTTCAGGTCCTGCTCAACTGTCACTCAGAGAGAAAACCCTGACTGTGCTTCCAAAGGAAAGTATATGGCTGGTGCATTCATGACCTGCAGGTTAGGTTGGCTGCCCCTAAGGGAGAAAGGCTTTGAAATGCTCTGGTCACAGGCTTTTGCTATGGTCTTAATGAGGAAGAGGGCAGGGGGCTCTGCAGGAAGGTGAAGGTGTTGGCTATGCACACACACACACACACACACACACACACACACACACACACACACACACACACACACACTTCCAACCTCTACAACTAAATGCCTCCTGGGTCCTGAGTGCATCAAATAAACCCAGGCACTCAAAAGATGACGCTAGCCCTACATCTGTGTGTATGTTACATTTGACTAACCCTTGGTCATATGACTCTTTATTTCCCCAATAATGCTCCAAAGTCAAAGACAAAGTCTCCCATAAAGCTTTAGCTTAAAAAACAACAAACAAACAAAAAAAAATTGCGTCTTAAAGCCTATGTTCTCTGAATATATGGTATTGTTATATAGCTTGGTGTTCCTGTGGGACTCCTAATAGTAGGAGCAGCTCTGTCTCTGACTCTTTTCCCAGCTTTTGGGTTCCCTTTCCTTCTACTGGGTTGCCTCATCCAGCCTTAATATGAGGGGATGTGCCTAGTTTTATTTGTAACTTGACATATCATGTGTTTGGTTGATAGCTCTGGGAGGTCTGCCCTTTTCTGAGGGGAAATGAGGAGGAGTAGACCTGAGGAAAAGGAAGTGAAGGGGAAGGGACTGAAGCAGAAGAGGGAGGAGAAACCACAGCTGGGATGTAATATATGAGAAGAATAAATTAAAAGAGTATTAAAAAAACCCAAAACAAAATAGGGTTTTATTATACAGCCAAAGCTGGCTTCAATTTTGCAATCCTCCTGCCCCAGCCTGTTAAGTGTTGGGATAATAGGATTGTATCATCATGCCTGGTAGAGCCATGACACTTTTAAGGGCCTTATTCCATACAGGGCTGGAGGAGAAAGTCTGACTGACATTCCAGGCCTGGGACCACATTTGGAGAGTTGCTGGGCTAACAGGCTGAACTCTAGTCTGTGAGATCTTAAGGTGAAAATTGTATACCCAGAATGTTACTGTTATATTGTCTAAAATGTGAAAGCATGATAGACTAAAGGATGTAAGCTCACTTCTCTTCAAAGAGGAGGCCAAGAGTCCGGAGGATTGACACCCACAGAGGTGTGCTGTAGTGAGCTTCTACCCTGAGCCTTCTGCACCATGGCAGAGAGAGGCCAGCTGGAGTGGATTGGCTGTTTGACAAATTACTGTTTGCTTACATAGAAAAGATACTTAACTGCATGTTCTAAGAATCTACTTGAATGTTTGTTATCCTCAAACAGATGCTTAGGAAAATGTATAATATGAATCTGTCAGGCACCTGCCCACTACTAACTGTGAAGACATAGGTAGAGGCCAGGCGCTGGCTAAGGTGGCTTGATTGACAGTCTAAAGTGAAATAAAGAATGGCCTGCCCATGAAAGCCACAGACTGTTATCTCAACTGTGGTAGCCACAGCGGTTTGGATGCCATCACTCACAGGAAGCTCGCTCTCCGTTGTTCCTGGTGTTTATGTCCCCTTTGCTCTGACGGCCCTTTGTTCCTGTTACTTCCTCCATGCGGTAAATTTCAGAGACACACAGCTTGGGATTGAAAGCGAAGTACATCTTTCCCGACCTGACAGTCAGGTTCCGGTGGTTCCAGTCCCATAGCTGCTGCAAGTTCTGGTTGTCCAGGACATAGAAGGAGTAGTTCCTGGAAGCATAGAAATCCACATTAACAACCCCACTGTGCCCATGGCCCCTCTGTGATATGTGTGGCTCCATACCAACAAGGGGCTTACCTCCTGGGGTCATGTAAAAGCAGACAGTGGCTGTGAACACTGGCAAAAAGATGAGCCAAGGACAATGTTTTGAAATCGATAGGACACTAATTAACTTTATGACCTCTATTACCAACACACAAAGCTTCTTCTACCAAAGGATGTTCCTCGAATCATTCCCTAGAAATGCCTTTGGTTATTTTTCTCAGAGCTAGGTATGTACAATGTGCTTGAAATCAGCCTACAGGAGAACAGACATGCTCTGCTACTCAACCGGAACAGCTTACATACTAGCAGCAAAGATTGCCATTATCCCTGGGAATAAATCCTACCCATGCCCAATCAGGAGTGCATGAAGGGATGGGAGACAGCCTGGCTGCTCCCTCTTCCACATTTGCTTTTCACTGCTAGAAGCCTTCATTTCAGTCACTGAAAGTATGGGAGAGGAGGTACACCCGCTAGGTGTTTTCCCTGGTAGCTGGAATCAGGGTAGCAGGGTACAGTGTCTAACAGTGGCTTTGCATACTTGACATGCACATAGCTTGTTTTCACTGTCTCCCTGTCTTTTAAAGCTTCTGATACAGAGAAAGGACTAGAATGGGCCAGGAATCTGGATTTTGAATGAGTGATGGTGAAAACACCAGTCCTGGGCCCAGAGTCTATGGGGCTTAGCATGGCTGTTTCCACTGCCTACTTTCCACTAGAATACAGTCATGGCCAAAAGGTAGGTAGCTATCTTTGGCCACTTTCCTGGCCCATCTAGGGGAGGGGAGAGAACAAGAGCTCTGCTGGTGTGTCTACAGAAGGGTTCTGTAGCAGGTCTGTCTCTCTGTCCTATCCTCCCCACCACCCCCAATCTGTAGACAGCATGTCAGTAGATGGTCTGAGTTCTCTCCTCAAGAACAGACCCGTTTGCTTTTCTATTCTTAGGTCTCCTCTGTGTCCTCCCCCCCCCCTTTCACTCCTGGCTCCGTGGAGGTTTCTCAACAAAGCTATGTCTAAGATCTAATCACATATTCAGCAAACAAATGTGCAGACAAGAAAGCTCTCCCTGCCAAGCCAGGAGTAGCCAAGATATAAGAGTCCCAAAGTCCTGCTCTGGCGCAAAGGCCGTGTCCACCAGGTACCTCTGTCCCAGCTGAAGGTCCTCACCCAAATCTGAAAGACTAACTAGGGTTGTCCACCTTCAACCTGACATTCACATACTAAGGCATGGGTTATATACTACTGTGACGCTACAAAGCAGCCCTTAGACAATTCCCAGAGAACTCAGTGGGAGCTCAGAGGTGAGGACTCAGAACCAGAAAAGCCATGAATTCAATGTATAAGCCACAGGCAGGTGCCTTAGTGCTATCAAGAGTACTGTTTATTTGCTAGAATAGAACAGGTGAGGTCTGAGTTCTCCCTGGCTTGAAGAGTCCTTTAGGAAGGCCAGCAAGATGGCTATGTAGGCAAAGATGCTCACAGCACAAGCCAGGTGACCCAGACCCACATGAAGGAAGAAAACTAGCTCCACAAGGTCATCCTCTGACCTCTGTACATACATTCCTCTGACACATATCACGCACGCACACAACCAGTAACACAATAAAGTTATATTTCAAGAGTCCTCATACCTAGGAGTCAAAGCTCAAGAGAAATCTGCCCAGTCAAGCTGAAGCTCCAAACCTCAAGTACCCCAACACATGCTGCAGTGCAGGTCCTGTACATGCAGGGGCTCAGTGAACCAGCAAGCCAGTGGCAAAATGTATGGTCCAACCCTTTCCTTTGGTAAGAATGTTTCCCTACCATACTTGTGACTTGGAATACAAACCTAAGATACTGATCAAGATTGTAATACACAAGGCTATATGTCCTAGAGAAGTCCTGTGACACCTGTCAGTCAGAAATGCCACCCACCCATCAATGTTCACTCTTATTGATGGTAGGGGTAGCCAGGATAGTCAGTAATGATGGAAAGGACTGGTCCCATCATAAGTCCCTCCTAACCAGTGGGATTTTTTTAGTCTTTGGGCTCATCTCTAACCTCACAGGTCAGGCTGCTCCCAGGTCTCTGAGTCCCAGGAGACAAAACAATCTCTTGTTAGTGAAGACACCTTCAGGCCAGATGCAAGGGCCAATTAATCAGGTCAAATTTCCATCTCAATCTAGGCCAAGGCCTCTTAGTAAATGAATTTCACTAGCAAGAAACAGAACTGCACTGAAAATACCTCCCTTCTGAACAAAACATTCCTCTCCCCAAGGAGGAAGCATGAATTAGAAAGTAGGAATTTGACAAATGAATGGCAGGCAAACAGAAATCCAGGCTATGTGACTAATCACTTTGAAAAGCAAGATTATCTTTTTATAGTAAACACAAACTTTTTTTCTTTAAACAATGTTGAGAAGGCTGGGAGCTTGAATACCAGAATATCAATAAAACTCAGGCACTGTGGAGTCTGCAGACAAGAAAGAAAAATATGAACCTTTACCAAAATAATAATCAAACTGCTCAGCGTACCCTGTCAACATGATGCTTGCCTTCCAGACCCTGCTGCCCAGGCACCCTTCTACAATCAGATGAGAATTAAGAGAGGGTCCAGGCAGAGATTTGTCTGTACACCTTCCAAACCATGAGTGTGCTTGGGATGTCATTGTTTTCTATAGGAAACGGCTAGTTAAGGAAACCACTCAGTAAGTGTGAGTTCAGAAACTGTTTCTGAGTTCACTGCCTTAAAAACTGAACTGTTCATTTCTTCTTTGGCTCCTACAGGCTGTACGATGCTCTGGGTTTTATTGAGATTGATACTTCAGCTCTTAGCTTTTCCAGTGTTAAGAGAAAAAAATTCCCCTCTACTTGGATGAGTTTCCCCAGCTAATGTGTAGACATAGCAGGGAGCTGGTCACCTCTTTGGGGGCACTGTACCATCACAATCACACAGCCCACATCGGCTATGATCTGTGGCCATCATTTCTTTTTCTTTTTTCCTTTTTTAATTTAAATTTGAAACAAGGTTGTTTTACATGTCAATCCCAGTTCCCTCACCCTCCCACCCTCACCTATCACCCCCACCAAACCTGATCCCATCCTCTTTCTGCTCCCAGGGGAGGGTGAGGCCTTCTATAGGGAGTCTTCAAAGTCTGTCATATCATTTGGGGCAGGGCCTAAGTCCTATCCCATGTGTCTAGGCTGAGAAAATATCCCTCTATGTGGAATGGGCTCCCAGAGTCCATTTGTACACCAGGGGTAAATACTGATCCATTACTAAAGGCCCCATAGATTGCCCAGTTCTTGCTGGTTTCCCAGCTGTCAGACTGGGGTCCATGAGCTCCCCCTTGTTCAGGTCAGTTGGTTCTGTGGGTTTCTCCAGCCTGGTCTTAACCCCTTTGCTCATCAGTCCTCCCTCTCTGTAACTGGATTCCAGGAGTTCTGCTCAGTGTTTAGCTATGGGTGTTTGCTTCTGCTTCCATCAGCTACTGGATGAAGGCTCTAGGATGGCATATAAGGTAGTAGTCAATTTCAGTTTGGGGGAAGGGCATTTAAGGTAGCCTCTCCACTCTTGCTTAGATTGTTAGTTGGATTCATCCTTGTAGATCTCTGTGCATTTCCCTAGTGCCAGATTTCTCCTTAGATCTGTAATGGCTCCCTCAATTACATATTCTTGATTTCCTCTATTCTTTCTCTGTCTCAATCTTCCTGTTCCCTCATGCCCACCATTTCTAGGCCAGTGGCACCATCTCCCTTTTGGATGCTGCAGAGCTGAGTGACACCTTGGAAGAGTACCGGGGACATGGTGTAGAGCATTCTATGTGGAAACTGAAAGTCAGGCTCAACCATCCTTTCTACTGCTTATGAAGTACCAACTCTGGGTGGTTTACTCAGCTTCTCTAAGGGCTACAGTTTCTCGGCTACCCATGGGAGGTGTCTTCTGGTTTCTTCTGGCCCCGAGGCCAATTGGAAGAATTGGATGAGCTAAATATAAAAGGATGTTGTGAGCTTTGAATCGCATGACAAAGGCACAGGTTGACCTTGCTACTCTCTTAAGTGTCAAAGTCCCATAGAACAAAGTCACAGAAAACATGCAAGTTCTGAACCTTGATACACAGGCCTGAGCCTGAGGTCTCCAGCCTACACAGGACCCTGCTTTCAAGCCCTTAGTGACATATTGTAAGAAAACCTGCAGACACGCATGCAACCAATAATTCTTTATTTCCCCAAGGAGACACTATTGCTGCCTGTTGACAGCTGTCTCTAGAGGGCATCAGAAGCCAGCACACTGAAGCTGTCACCAACATAGCCATTTATACCGTCATTCAACCCATCTGTAGAGTACTGGTTCACTTCAAGTCCAAAGTTACCCTATCTACATAGGCTCAATGAGTATGGAAATACACACCCAGGTAAAATAAAACCCATCACCACATAGATCCACAAAAAAGGCTGTTTGTTGTGGAGTGCTTTTAAAAATAGCTTTGCTTGGGTATAATTACCTTCTAAAATTGTACCCATTATAAATATATAGCTCCATGGGCTTCAATAAATTTATACAGGTATCCAACCACCATCACATTATTCAGATTCAGGACATTTGAATCAGGTCAAGGTCTCCATTCTCTTCCCACCCCAAGCATCTTCTGTCTGTCCACTCATGCTGCTACATGTACCATGACCCAATCTTTTTGCTGTTGAGTAGTATCTTTCTGATTGTGCTTATATTTTCATTCACTGAAGAGCCCTTAGATTATATCCAATGGGCTATTTTGAGTCAGTATTATGAAAAATGCTGTTATGAGCATTTATATACAAGATTTGCATGTACATGTTTTCATATATCTAGGAAGAACCTAGAATTGGTAGGCCACATGATTAATCGTATGCATTTTAAAAGTTTCAAGCACATGCTAAAATGAGGATATGCGAGTGTCTAGTCCTAGAGCTGCAAGAAGGCATTAAAAAACACTATGTCTGCAAAGTCAAGTGGACAGAGTAGAGATGCCTAAACAAACTAAGAAACAACTCTTATCTGCAACTTTAATGTATTTTTGTTCTTTTCAAGGCAACAATCCTTGAAGCACCAAAGAACTTGAACTTTTAACTTACTTGACTGCCTCCAAATCAAGTTTGTCTGAAGTAAAGTACTTTCCAGATAATGGATATATTTTTCTCATGTATTCTAGGGAAAACACCAAATTCACCCCAGGAAAAAAAACAAAAACAAAAACAAAACAAAACAAAACCAACAACAACAACAACAACAAAAACTTGACTTTCCTTCATTTTGCTAGAGATCAGGGTAGCAGGCATTCATGCATTACAGGTCAAGTGTCTAGTAATGCACCACACCACTACTGAGAAAGCCCTATCCTCATTTGTGTGTATGTATGTATGTGTGTCTACATGCTAAGTATACAGATATGCATCCTTCTCTGTTACTCTCCACCTCTCACTGAACCAAAAGCTCTTCATTTAGGTTAGGCAGGACAGCTGAACAGCAAATTCTTGGGATCTGTCTGTCTTGGCTCTCCACCTGGAGCTTCATGCATGTGCAGCTATGCCCAACTACCTGGGACATGAGGATTCAAATATGGGGCATCATGCTTGCCCAACAAGCACTCTTTGCCACTGAGCCATCTCCCCAACTCCAGTGATTCTCTTATTATCTAAAGCTGAGGTTATAGATGTGACAAATTACAGAGTGAGTGATGGTTGAGACCTTCTGGACAAACCAAAGGGTCCTGGGCCACCTGGGTACCGTTCTGTGGCTGCCCGCCCTGATCTCTGTTCTGCTGGGATTCTGTCTCACTTGTCAGCCTGGAAATCAGCTTACAGAAATGACTCATGATGAATACGCATGGCACAGGCTAAGAAGGCTTAGAAAGAAAACCGAAAAACTACACCTAGGTATATAACACGTGTGTTCCCATAAGGGTTGCTCAGAATGCCACGTGAGACGAACTGCAGTGCTTTTTTGGGCAGCTGAGGTTGAGGATACCTTCATGTGGAATGTTCCTCTTTCCATCAAAACAAAAGGCCTCAGAATCCTGAACCAGATGAAAGCATTTACTTTGTTCTCACTAGCCATATTAGAGGCTCAACAAATAGACTCCTTCAAGAATGAGAGTTAAAAAAAAGAATGCTTAAAAAACAAAAACAACCAAGAAACAAAACAAAAACAAACAAACAAAAACAAAAACAAACAAACAAAAACAAAAACAAAAACAAACAAACAAAAACCTGGGATTGGAATGTAAAAAAATAAATTAAGAAAAAAAAAAAATCAAAAGTGGCCTGGGGGTATGTATATTAGAATGATTATAGGGATAAGGTAGTTATTTCCAATCTTCGCCATTGTGTGCCAAAAGTACACAGATATACTTAGAGAAAGTACTCAAGCGTAAACCAGCGACTCTCCTTTGTTGCTGTAGTTTTCTTGTCCCACCAATCCCACCACTTCAGCCCCAAATGAACACAAAGATGCTGTATTAATTATGAAGCTGTAGGCCAATGGCCAGGGCTTCTTATTGGCTAGCTCTCTCTTATTTATTAACCCATAACTACTAATCTATATATTTCTACATGGTCTTGGCTTACCAGAGAATGCCCGGACCTGTTATTCCTTTGTGGTCTACATGGCAACTATGCGGTCTCCCTCCGCCTACCTTTCCCAGAATTCTCCTCTTCTCCTAGTCCTGCCTATTTTCCTGCCCCTGCTGGTTATTGGCCAAACATATATACAGAAGAACATCCCACATCACTCCCTACCCCAAGTTTACTGATTGATCTGGAGTGAGGTACAGCATGGTGAGGTACAGCAAGGACTTCTCTTCCCCTTAACTGTAATGCACATTCCGGGAAACACAGGGGGAGAAGCTTATCTTGGCTTAAATGGATAGCACCCTGAAATTTAGACAGCTCTACTAAGACTCCTCGAAAGGAACGAGTGTGCTCCATGGTTCACCTAAATGACAACCTCCACACCTGTGTGCAGCAGCATCTCCTGTAATTCTACTATCGCCTGCCTCCCCAGCACTATTTGGAAGACAGGTCCAGGATGGCAGGATGGCATTCTTTGCTTGCCTCTCCCCCACTGTCTTTGCTCTTGTACTTCTCCAGTTCCAGGAGGCTGTCTTCGCTGCCAGCTCTCCCCAGAAGCCCGTCTGAGCCTTTCCCACCACAGCGTCTTCATTCTGGTAGCCAGAGCACTTTTGCTTCCCTCTGGGGTGCTTTGAAGGTTACGTTTTGCACCACCTGTGTTGGACTGTTTACCATCCTCCCCCCCCACCCCCGTTTTGGTTTGTTGAGCCAGAATTTCTTTGTGTAACAAGCAGTCCTGGTTGTCCTGGAATCCTTTTTTTCCTTTATTGAGTAAGTGAGGAAGAAGTGAAGGGGCTGAGCCCAAGCTCTCCAAGGACAGAAAAACAGATGAGTTGTGGCTACAGGTGCCCCTCAAACAGAGCTTGGGAGTGAATCACAGGTGAACAAAAGGGCAGAGCAGAGAAAGCTACAACTAAAGAGGAAAGCCTCAAGTGTCCTAGCTAGAGGCGGCCTCTAAACCAGCAGCCTCCAGGCCTCATCTGCCCTCCCCTCCTTTCTAAAATGCTGACAGCAGGGTGTGGCCCTAAGCTTTCCAGAGAAGCTTCCCAAACACAAGCATCCTTATTAAGACTTGGCTGGTACTTCATATGTAAGTTTCAAATAATGGAAAGATACTCTACATATATTCTTGGAAATAAAAAAACCAGTCTTCAATTTTCCGCTACATCTAAGTGCATGATACTTTTAGTTAACTCATAACGATAAGATAACCCCACCAGATAATAATCCTAACAGAAATAATCAATGCCTCCTCTCCACTTTCTATGCATATCACTAGCTCTGAGGAAAGGGAGGGAAGGAGTGAGGGGGAGAGGTGTATATCCTTAAGAAACTAGCAAATCTGCCAGCTACTAATCTGCCAAAGAAAAGTGCCAGGGATTGCAGAACCTAGGTAGACTGGGGGCAAATAATGAAGCAAGACTGAAGTACAGTCCCTTTTAAAATTAGTTCCAACAAGGAAGTAACAGCATCATGCTCTCACATAGGTAGATCCCCAGCAATGACTGGAACATTCTGGGCTGGGTGCCTGGCACCTGTTTTGGATTTGCAAGGAGGAAGATTTTTTTTTTCTGAAGCTTCCTCGATTCCAATGGAAAGACAGTGTGCTTTTCAAGTACAGGGTGAGCAGCTCACTCTCTGGCTGTATCGGGTTAATTTAGGACAGAGTTGGTCTGAGAAAAGACACCCTTATGCAGACACACTAATGACACAGATTCCCAGGACCTGCCCGTCACTTTCTTCCTAAAGGAGTTTATTCCCTAATTGATATAAAATTTCAAAGCATATACTTTAGAATTATACCAGAGCTGTATTAAATGTACAAAGGATCCAGCAAAGGGGCACACAGGTTGGAGAGAAGCTGTGAACACATGCAAAAAACACCAGCTTCTATCCTATGCTGAGAAACCCACGGTTGCTTTAAAACCCAGTTTGGAAAGCAATTTTGTGCAGAAGGCAAAGTTTCTATCAATAATACAAATCCTGCAAACTGACACACTAGCTCTGCAGGTTAGAAATAAATATCTTTAAATAAAATGAACTGTCCATACTTGGCAAGTTTGTATGCTTCTCTGTTTGAGGAGATAGCTCAGATGGCCAGGTGGTCACACACCTGCTGTACCAGCATGAGGACCGGAGTCCCACCCCCAGAACCCACATAACATACATTTGGAACCCTAGCACCTGGTAGGCAGAGTCAGGAGGCCAGTTAGTCTAGCCAATCTGGTGAGCTCCAAGTTCAGTGACAGTCTCAAAGGTGACAACTGACTGAGAAAGACACCCTATGTCTCTCTGAATTCCCACAGGTATAAATGTACGCATGTACATAATACTAATTTACACACAAACACACACACACACAATTCAAATGTAAAAAGAAGAAGCACACCCCACTTTATAAAGAAGAATGTAGTGTTTACCCTTCCAGCTGCTCCTCGCCCAAGATTAGACGAAGGTTCTTCAGGAAGGACAAGGAGACCAAAGCGTGGGAATGGCGGATCTTCACATAGCCGGTCACCACCTCAATGAGCCCCATGAAGTTCTCCAGTTCCGAGGCAATGTTATCTAGAGGAAGAGAAGTCAGGGTCACTGAGAGTTCCTCTGGTCAGGTGGCATATTACAGTTGGATTCAGACATACAGGTGTGGAGGGAAATGCAAAGCAGGCCTTGTTTGGGGGAGATGGGTGAGAAAGTGGGCATAGGACCAACGGTCCCTGTCAAACACAGTCTCCATTTTCCACTGACACGAGGCCTCTAAGGCGGGAAAGCAGATTTCTAGAAGGTTGGATATTGCAGCTGCCAAGCTGATTAACAGAACGTGAAATCAGAAATGCCAGGCTGCTAATTAGCCCCAGCTGACAAACAGAGGGACTGTCTTTTAAATATGCCCCATGACAGGCAGTCCTACTTCTACAGTGCCATGACAGGGCTGGGCAAGCCTTTCTCAGTCTCAGTAGGAACAGCCTTTGCTGTACTGGAGTTCCTAAGACTTGGGGATCTGTATTTAAAGACTCCATCAGAAGCTGAAGGAAAACACACTCCAACATTACAGCAATGATGGTTGTGGAGAGTGTGTCTCTCACTTTTTTCCAGCACAGAGACAGGACAGGGTTTCTTGTAGCCTAGGCTACATAGCAGAAGGTGACCTTGAACTCCTGATCTTCTTGCCTCCCCTCCCTGGGTACCTATACCTGGCCTGCAAATGGGTTTTTTTTTTTCCCCTCTCCTAAATCATTTCTGTATCTCTAAGTTTTCTACTATGCTCACAATTACTTCTGTAACCAGAAAACAACCAGCAAAAGTTGCTATTAAAATAGTATACAAAAATAGTTGATTTTCATTTGTCTTGCTTACCTACCTCTCACATAGTAAATAAGAAACACAAACTTGAGTTCAGATCATGACAAAATTATAAGATTATAATAGACTCCACTAAATGGGATTTTACTATATGTGATATATGCAGGTTGACTTAGTGAAAGATTCTACTTTGGTTTGATATAAATAAAAGGGCAGAGGACAAAGCCTCACACTTAATGGCTAAGGGAAATTCAATCCGAAAGAAAAGTGGCTACAACTAATTCTTGCTTTGTTCCCCCAGAATTGACCTAGAACCTCAGCAAGAGCAAGACAAGTGCTTTGGCTGTCCTAGAATTCACTAGGTACACATGCTGGCTTTGAACTTCCAGAGCTCTGCCTGCTTCTGCCTCCCTAGCTCTGGGACTAAAGGTGTGGGTCACCATGCCCAGCAGATAATACTTCTTCATAGACTGAATTTACCAGTCACATTTAATTCTCACACGGGAGAATTATATCTTATAAAACAATAGGTTTTATGAATTTTAAAAGGCATATCCCAGGGATGGATAAATTTAAATAAATCTAGTATGAGCAAGAATGCAACTCGTTTAGTATTATAAGGGTCAGAGTTCTTGTGTGGGGAACAGGGTCCTCTCCATGGTGGAGAGTAGGTGATAGGGAGTAGGTGATAAAAACTAAGTGCTTATGAAACAAACAAAAACAAACCCAAAGGCTGCAAATACCACCATCAATAGCAAACAAAACAAAACTTGTTTATCTCTATACCCTAAGAATAGAAATCACTCATTTAACAAATACTTATGGAAAGGAAATTCATAAAATAAAATAATTAATTAATGAATAAGTCATTTTTCCTCTGAAAGATTCCCCCAAAGATTTATCAGTACAGAGTAAGATAATAAAAATTCTTCTGCCTATAGTAGTCTACCTATGAAACTCTCAGTACCTCAACCCAGTGGCCCTGGTAGCAGAGAATTGAAGGCCTTTTTCTTCTAGTCAAAGACCTTTAATACCAGCACTCAGGAGTCAGAGATAGGTGGATCTCTGTGAGTTTCAAGCCAGCCTGGTCTACAAAGCATGTTCCAGGACAGCTAGAGATGTTATGCAGAGAAACCCTGTCTCAAAAGCCACTTAGCCCCCAACCAAAATTAAAACGAAACAAAAACCAAACAAACAACAACAAAAAAGACTAGAGAGAAGACTGCAGGGTTATGCTGCCACTGATGGGAAATACTGTTCATGAATGCAATTCTGAAATAGTGTATAATGTAGTGAATGGGAGTCTGCAGGGCTCATGCAGAGGCTTGAATGGTAAATGGTACATCTTTCTGGCTCTCAGAAGTAAACTAGGAGATCCACCATCCTTAAGACTTCCTAAAAACTCAAATTAGTAAATCCTTCCCTTTGTTCAGTCTCCTCAATAGAGGCAAGTAACCCAAACTCTGGGCTTACAGATGTGTGGATTCTGCAGCTAGCATGAGCTGACTCATGGGTCTGATCCATCAATAATGCTGAGGTGTGTGTGTCAGGACAGGGCCCTCCTGCGTCAGATATGCCTAACAGAAAGATGAGGGCTGATCCTCTTTACAGGAATAAACTCTGGGCTAATGGTTCAAACACAGGCCGCCTTTTAATCTGGATTTTATCTTTCAGGGAAACTCATAGGAGAGACGTCACACAAGAGGCTTACTTATATCCCATGCTGTTTTCCTAAGCCTATATTTTGGTTGTGACTAAGGGACAGAGCATCCTTGCAAGAAAACTGAGAGATCCAGCCACTAGTCTGTGCGGTGGAATACTTACTGCCCCGCCGGATGTTAATAAGCAAATTGCCCTTCAAGATGGTGCATCCTTGGAGCATCTGAGCCGACGTAACCGAATCGATGGTTTTTGTTTTCTTCTCTTCATCGCCACAGACTTTGGGGCAGGGGCCTTCACAGGGGATACAGTACATGCTGTTGAAGATACGGAGTGGACCAAAACCACACAATTGAGTTTATTTTCTTACATAAAAAAAAAAAAAAAAGCAGCATTTCATGAAGGAACCTTTCTTGAAGCATACAAGTGATCACACAATATCTCCTCCACAGGCCTACCCAGGGCAAGCCATTCCAGCCATGAGGAGGGAACACATACTGAGGAGGAGGAAAGCATGTTGCTTGTTTCTAGACAAAATACATGAGCTACGCAAGAAGCATGTGAGTGTCATAGGCTTAGGACTGGGAAGCAACTTGGTCAGTGTGGGAGACACGGTCACACAGAAAGGCATTTGGGGCTCTGGAAAAGTGGAGCTGCTTTTGAGGAGACCCTTGCTTGCACACCACAGGAGGCTGGGAAAACTGGAAGGGCTGGGGAAGATATAGCAGGCATCTTTGCCACTAACAGGTGTCTAATTCTCCAATCAGAGAGCATAAAGCCCAGGGAGGGAGCCTACCAGGCATGAGGCACAGTGCAGGCCCGTTATTTTCCTGCTGAAGCACAAGTGAAATTATATCTTGATAGTGTATTTTGGAAACTTGTAAACTGATCCAAATGTTGTTTTGCTGCACATACAGTAAAAGTCAGGAACTTTCTTCTGCTCTGTAATGAGGTCCTGGTCCAAATGCTACCCTGAGTGCCACACACCACCAGGAGCCAGAAGGACTCACAGTGTATGTCCTGTTTACAGACCATCACTTAGGAAACACCAGAGAAAATGCTAAGCCTGGGACTACACCTTCTGAGATCTTAGCTGTGTACAGAATCAGGGCTGTGAGGCTGGACTGATTTCTGAATGAGATAAGTGACCCAAACTTCTGGGTGTGTGGGATAGCTTTACTACTTTTTATAGGATATCCACGTTGTCTTCACTTCCGGGTATTATGACGATATTACAAACAACTATGTGCAGAGTGTTCAGGGTCAACACGACTGGGCTGTAAAGTAATATTACGCTTGTTCCTTCCCTATCTTTTATTCAAATAGAAAAATCCCCCTTTGTTAAAATGTCTAGGTATCATTTAGCACTTAAAAATGTTTTTATAAGGCTATGTTCTGATTACATATTTACAGTCTGAGTTTCCTAAAATTCACTCTGGTGTAGACAAAGTATAAACAGTATTTTAAAAACACTCTCAAGTGCTAAATAGGCTTCAAAGGCCGAGAGAAGAACAGATATTATTTCTTGATGGTGTTTCACTTTACAATGGAAAAGACTGTGAGAATGGGCAGGGAGCAATGGCGAGGTGCCTTAAGACCACACTGCAGGGAAGGAGAACCAACTCCTATGAATACATAGCACTCTTGCTGTGTGTTGCAGCATAGCTGAATGCCTTCAGTAGAGAGAAGCAATAAAGCTGCCAATCAAAGATGATACATACCATAGTGAGTTCTCCGGCCAGCTAGCTATCCTTCCCCATTCCCAGCCCCTGAAGGAAGGCAGTGTCTGGACTGTGGCTGAGCATTTGCCTGCTGCCAGACACTGGCCTCTGGCTCAAGATGTGGTGTAGTCCAGCCCTTTTATATCCTAAGTCTGTGACTGCTTGGATCTAAGTGACCTTAAATAAAGGCCCACTCTGTAATGGCTTGCTCATCAGCTTGATAAAGGTAGGGACGTCTGCCAGTCCTTGGCACATGCCCAAAAGCAATAGAACCATTCAACCTTGGCCTAAAACCTCCAAAACAATGGGCTAAAACCCAATGTCATCATCTTTTCTTTTTTTCCTTTTGTTTTTTTTCTGTGTAGCCTTGGCTGTCCTTGATCTCAGAGATCCACCTGCTTCTGCCTCCTGAATGTTGAGATTAAAGGTGTGTACCACCACAGCCCTGTTTCATCATCTTCTTTTTTTTTTTTTATAAACTGATTACCTCAAGAATTTTGTTACAGGAACAGAAAGTTGACTAATAGAGACTGTCAACACGTGAGTAAAAATATGACAGACTTATTTTTGGTAGGCTGTATTGTACAATTCTGAGTCATTATAGTCCATGGCTTATTTAATTATTTAAAAATATTTAATTTTTTCCATTTTACTGTTACAATGATACTGTTATAATTAAACAGGTAGGAATTTGCTTTACACCTTAGCATTATGAAACAAATTTAATCTTTGATTTGATCCAGCAGTCAGTCTATAATAGAAACATCCCCAAATACTACAACAGAAATGGAATCCTCTTATTGAAGACGTGTTGGACAGCTTTTAAGAAAGTGACTGTAGCAAAACTACATATCTTGTACTTGCAGAATTGTTAGCCACGCTGGGGACTGGACAGCAGGCCTTTATGTGCCAGGGATTGGATCTAGGACCTCCCACAAAAGCTAAGGTCTGGGTCCTCCCACAGGCTGTGGACTGGATCTAGGACTTCCCACAGGCTGGGGACTGGTTTGAGGGTCTCCCTCAGCTTAGCATGAGCTGCAATCAGAGCCTCCTAGTTCCATTTTGAGGAATTCAGAAACACATTTGTGTGTATAGCCCAGAGGCAGGGAATGAACTACAACCTTCCCCCAAGCCCTCTGCTCTGTTCGGGAGAGGGAGCAGCAACCCCAGACCTGTGCTTTGTTTCCAGAGCTAGAACATCCTGTTTTCAAGAACATCAGTCCACGACAAGATTGTGGATGGACCACTTGTTTAGTCAGGAACATCTCTGCTTCCTTCCTCACTGAAGCCTCAGAGGGCAGAAAGAAAAGCCAGCAGCCACTAAGGCAACCAAAATCACCAAAGAGACAGAACTTAGAGGAAGGAGGTTCTGGAGAAAACATGGCTGACCTGACTGCTAGTTCAAGTCCAGAGTCCAGGCTTATACTGAGAAGTGGGAAACCTGCCCCTTGGCCACCAGAGTGCTAGTGAGGACTTATCTTCCCTCCTTCTCACACGGCCAAAGCTCCCACTGGGCTAGAATAGCAAGCCAGAGAGGAGAGTCTGTAGCTACAGTCGCCATCTCTCTTACTTCAGCTCTGCAGGTGCACAGGGAACAATGCTATCCAGACACCTGGCCAGCAGGCTAATTCTTACTCTCTAGTGCTAGCAAGGCACTTTCAAAGAAAATGAAACAAGCCAATAAAAAAGAAATGAAAACAGACCAGCCACTCCAAGATTTTCATTAAAACAAGCTTAGTCAGCGCCCTCCAAAAGCCTCCTCATCTGCATGAACCTCTGGGTGGTTCCACCCTCATGGAGTATGCAGCAGATTCACGAAGGGTCAGGGGACGAGAGCCACTGACCTCTGTGTGCTGTTGCGGATGAAGCCCGAGGGACATTCTTGCATGCACTCGCCATCGTGGATGACAAAGCCATCGGAGTCACTGCCCTCGGCATTGGGGATGTTGGCACAGAAATCGCGGTCCACACATCGCCAGCCCTCGAACCTGTAGGTGCCAGGTGGGCAGGCAGGCACGCACACGCCTTTGTAGTAGTAGTGTCGGCAGGCCACGCAGGTTGTGTTGTCGTCAGGTGTGTGGCAGCTGCCTAGGCACTCTGGGTGGCAGCACTCATTGTTCTCTGTGCACGCTCGCTTTCCACACACGCTTGGACACACTGTGGGAACAGGGTGAGAAGGTGGTGAGATGAAGGGACTACACAGCTCCCCCTCCCCCGGGTCATCTGCTGCCACCACCAGCACTAAATGGTTTCTCAGAGACAGGCTAGGAAAGCCACCCTTCCTCTGAAATCTGCACAGGTAATACCATCTGGGAATCTCACACTGGGAAAGGATACAACACATGGTAAGTCCTTTCTCCCTTATGAACTGGTTTGCTATTGGGTGTTAAGTTCTAACAACCCTGCCCTCCTCTTTTTCTCATCTATAAAATGGGATGACTGTACCTATTAAAAGGGAACCCATGGCAGAGGTGAACAGAGAGAAACAGAGACCATATGGGCCACCAGTACTATCTCTATAAGGCACTGTGGTCTCCAGCCCTTTGCGTATGAGGAATCCATTCTAAGACCCCAGGGGATGCTTGAATCACACAAAACACTGCCCAGTGCAGCATACTTTCCCCCTACACACACACACACACACACACACACACACACACACACACACACACACACGATTTAGAGAGGAAGCATAACAAGTGTGGTGGCTTGTAGGAGAAATGTCCCACACAGGCGCATGGAAGCACAAATAAGCACCCTCTGAGGGGGTGCCCTGCTGGAAGAAGCACTTTGCTGGGGGGGGGGGGAGACTCTATCTCCTGTGTGTAGATGAATTGTGCTCATTTTGTGTTTCAAGCCTGCCTCACAGTCCTGATGCCATGACTTCTCTGCCGCGATGGGCTATCCTCTCTGGAACTGCAAGGCCAAAACAAGCCCTCTCTTCTCTAACTCATTTCCTGCCAGGGTAGGGTATCACAGCAACAGGAACTAATAAAGCATGAGACTGGTCAAAATGCCTAGGTTACAGCAAACTAGAACCACACACTTTACTGTGAGTCACTGTGTGACTGTGGTCTCTCACTTCTGAAACTCCAAAAAAAGAAATCAAGGATATGAAGAAGTGCTCATTTGCTGCCAAGAGGATTAAGTCACAACTGAGACTCCACCGTGCTTACCAAAGGTCTTTGGTGATGCTGGACCAGCAACTTCTCTGCATAGCACAACCTTCTGACCACAAGCAAGTCATTGGATCAAATGGTACAGAATGGTGCCTGCACCCAGGGACCACCGAACTATACACCTTGTTAAGTTAAAGACTGGATCCAGCAACCACAGATGGAAACTTCATATCCCGAACAGATGCTCTGCTGTGTATTTCCATAAATATGTTATCATGAACACATACCATGACCTATGTGTGAGCCATACTCATGAACAATGTATAAATCAACAAACTATGAAATCTGGTGAGTATTACATGTGCCCTATTTTCTTTCTAAGGGGGTGGTATTGTTGGGAAACACTACAAAACTATATAAATATGTATATTTTAATTGCGGTGTATCAATGAGTCAAGGTTCCATTTTTCTTCTTATAAAAACTGCATGCTAAAAACAAAACCAAACCATACCCCAGCAATCACAGATAACACAAAGAACACAGAAGTTCATCTGCCCCAAAAGCTACTCTGTCAACCTTTCATGTGGTCTTTTCCAGATCCTTCCATGCCTTTACATGAGTAAATAAATGCAAATATTTGCAAGTAAAGGTCAAGCCACTGAGAAAGCACTCTTGTTAGACTTGACTATGGATACCACCATTATACAGCAGCAACCATTACAACCCTCCAGTACGGCCACATCCCAGCATGAAGTGCACCCTCAGTCCCCACGCATTATTGTTCTAGGAGTATAGCCATCTTTGTGGGCACCCTTGCATGACATCAGGATCAGTTTTCAGAACCGACTGTGCTGAGTCACCTTGTCTTGTGGTGTCTCACAGCAGTGTCTACACTGTGTGTCATTACTCACATCCGAGTGTTCCTGTGTCACTGCATTTAAAAACAGGCATTAGACTAGCAACACTTCAACCAGTAGCATCACACAGTAAGAAAACCAAAGGGTTCTCATGACACTGCCAAGGCATAAGTAATCATGCATTCTTCTCTAAAGCCATCCCCCTGCAGAAGCATTGGGGCACCCCTCCCAGTTATTTCCCCCTGCAGGAGTTTTGGGTATCTGGCTGGGTATACTGTCATCCCTTTAACTCCTATGTCTCCTAGCCTCCACTGTGGCTAGAATATAGCCATGCATCTGAAGTTCTAAGCAATGGGATATAAGCAAAACAAACAACTTTTTTTTTTTTTTTTTAAATAGTAGAGCTTACTGGACCCTGCCTTAAAAAACACTGTAAATGTCCTTCTTCCTTGCTGGCTGAAACACAGAAGTAATGCATGGATATTCATGCAGCCATCTTTGACCATGAGGCAACACATGGAGAAGTGAGACCAAAGAAACTTGGCCTCTCAGGATGGCAGAGCAACCAGGCCAGTGGTTGTCAACCTGTGGGTCACAACTCCTTTGATGGTTACCTACCAGATATCTGGCTTATCAGGTATGTTTACATTACAATTCATAAAAAAGTTATTTATGAAGCAGCAACAAAGTAATTTTATGGTTGGGAGTTACCACAATATGAGGAACTGTATTCAAAGAGTTGGAGCATTATAAAGGTTGAAGAGCCACTGATCTAGACTAACACTGGGCTGTTGACCTTTGAACTTCTTCAGGTAATGAAAAATAAAATGATGGGGGAATGTCCCTCTGTATATATTTATCTTATTGGTTGGTGAATAAAACACTGTTTGACCAACAACGGTGGGACTAGGAAATGAGGAGAATTCTGGAAAAATAGGCAGAGAGGTGTCATGAGGAGACGCTATGTAGCAGAGGAAGAAGTAGCAGGTCCAGTAAGATAATTCTTAGATTAATAAAAATGGGTTAGTAATTAATTAAGAGAGAGCTAGCCAGTAAGAAGCCCTAGATAGCCATTGGCCAACGGTTTTAAAATTAATATAGTACCTATGTGTTTAGAGGGACCTGGAGGGACAAGAACTCCAGGCACAAAAACTACCCACAAATAAGACCTACCTTCAGAGTCATGCACAAGAGAAGGAGAAAAGCCTTCTCAGCTGGTTTATGACATTTGTTTATTAACACTAACTTTTGGATGTTTCAGAATATCTATTCTAGCACCAAAATAAGCAGGAGTTAATTATTTCTGGTCACACCAAAAGAGAATATGCTGCAGGAGCCCTTAATGTTGGAATACAGACACTGCCTATCACAGCAATTATCTCAAAGACAGTAAAATGGATTTCACTTTTCAGCCTACCATGTTTTTAGCTTCAAACACTATCAATGACTCTTCCACTCAAAGACTTAAAAAATGGCATGGTTGAAGATGATATAGTTTGATGATTTTATTAAATATATATACTACACAGGTTACATCAGGGTTTCACGTCTAAACAAGTACTGAAGTTGTTTGTGTTGATTTCAGTTTGCAATCCATCAGTGAAAGAAGTGAATCGATCTATTCTGCATTTATTTATCCACCCAGCATTGACTGCCTGTGTGCTGCATCTATGTGCCAGGCACTCAAGGAAAGGACACCCCAACCAGAAAGGGAAGCAAGGGGGAGTAGAAGTGCATGGTGTTCCTAGTGCCTTGGGTGTCAGATAATAAGATTAGCACTGAAAAGCAGAAGCATGACAGGATGAAGCATCAAGACCACCCCTCAGAGGGTCTGGTGTAAATACGGGCTGGGATGTTGCTGAGAACAGAATAGGGCCAGCTCAAGGAGGCACCACAGGCCACTCATTTGGTGGATAGCTGGCAATCGCTTAAGGTTTTAGGCAGGGGTTATGTTTTTCACCCTAGAAAGGTCAACAGGCTATAGCATTGGCATGATGACCACAGTGGGCAGAATAGACAGAAAAATGGTCAGGGGAAAGGAATCTGCTGCTGATCATGTCATTTCTCTACAGCTCACACAAAACAACAGATCCACAAAGTTCAGTGTAACTAGCTTTTGACTCCCTGGTAAAGTCATCCCAGCTGTCCACTGACACCATGCTCTGTTATTGGAGAGGAAGGGAAAACAAATTAGGATTCTCACCACTATCACCAGAGATTATTAATGGGGACCAAATGTTAACTCATTGAGCTCTTTATTTAAGTTACACCAGAAAGAAAATGACACATCATAACACATAGAAAGGTCAAATAGCTATGTAGTAGTAAAAGCTTCAACCATGTAAAAACCGGAAAATAACCTTCTCCACTCATTTGAAACTGTTACCACCAAATGTAAATGCTACATTTTCCCAGGATGAGAAAGAAATAGAAATAAATACTTGAGAAGACAGTTGCTATTGTGCAAGCACATGTCCTGTTCCACGGCTGTGATGGTAACTTCTTCCCAACCAAGAACAGTAAAGTTAAAACATTGCCTTTACAGACAGAACTATTCTTTTTAAGTAGATACCAGATCAATGGGCCCCCACCAGATCAATGGGCTCCTTAATATCGAGTGACACCAACTGTGAACAAATGCACATCTACGATTGTGTAGGGGTATAGAAAAGGGGCATGCAGAGAGGAGAGATGAATATGCAGGACAGCTGGCTTTTGCTAGAGGTCAGACTCCAGAAATCTGTGGTGGCTACTGGGAAGCAAGCAGTGTTCCTCTTTCTTTATAGTACAGAGGATTCTAGGAGGCAGCAGGAGGACACAGGGCAGTCCAGGATTAGAGAGTCCTGGAGCCAGCCTCAGAAGCCTGCTGTAAATTTTGTCTCATCTCAATGTATATAAATATTATTAGTGTTCAGGACTATTAAGGGATTTCTTGAAAAGCCCCGGGCAGCGTGTCTCGCCAGAAGATGGATGGCTGTTCTATATGAGTGCCAAACTTAAAATTTAGTGCAGTAACCAAATTTCCAATTACAGCCCTATGGGGGAAAGGAGGGGACCTCTTTTCCAGCTCCTGGGGAGGAGTACACAAGGCATGGTTAAAAGGGCAGCTTGACCTTAAAAAGAGGAAACCAAAGCTGCTGTAAACTAATGCACAGAGAAAAGCAAATTGATTTTGCTCAT